GTAGGCGGTACACTGGGCTTCCAGAATAATACAATGAAAAGTATAATACTGAATAATACAATGAAAAATATGATTTGTTAGGAAAGGGTTTGCTCCGGATCCGATCTAGCTCCCCACACATGGGTGACATGGCCGAAGTCGCTACCACCGAAATGGCGAAAAGTATGATTCAGCAGAGTTTATGTGATGAAGCAGTGCACTTGTGTTGGGCCAGAAACAAGTCGTCGCCTCATCACGCGGCTTGAGCGGAAGATCCTTTTGTCGTTTTGACTGTAATCTGTAGCTGTATGATAACCACTGAAACCAGTGACTGTCTGTGTCGGAGAGGTAAGGACTTTTAGGTTGTATGTGCGCAGCAGTCACAGCAGACCTGCCCAGATCGCGGAATCACGAGATTCCGATCATTCGCCACATGGCGCACTAGCATGCATGCACTGGACCGGCAGTGGCACCATGGCCAGTAGGCAGTACAGACTATGTCAGTCAGTACACTCTACACTGCAGTACTGACCAGTACAGGCTGTACAGCTACTTGAGCTTGCTAGCTGTACACACCACTGTCACGTCACCAGTCATCACTACACTGTGAATGGTGGTGTCGTGCGGTGACATTACTGGTTTGCTCCGAAAGAAATGCGATGCCAAGACTCAAGCTCAAGACAAGTCAAGAGGAGAACCAGCGTGGGAAATCGGCTGGGCTATGTAATGCTACGTGTGCGCCAACAAGCAGATTCGAGGAAGCGACATCGCTTGGAGTCCATAATAATTATTTTGTTTTTTAATTGAACACAGTTACTTTCTAATTGCTAAGCTCTTTTCCACTACCATCAGGATTCAAGAACTCAAGAAATATTCCGGTAAAATACGAGCAACTACTAGTATTACTTCTAGAACCAGTGCCGGATCGAATGACTATTAGTATTAGGAACTTACAAGTGTAGCCACTTCTCTGTTCGGTCACGTGTCCGTGGTCTCACTCACCTCTGAAAGACTAGTGTGTTTATTAGTAGCTATCTCAGCAGGGTAGCACTACAAGTACGGTCGGTACATGCAAGAGTACATAATCCGGGGGTTATCATGGTTATGTATAGAGCTCAAACGGTCACGGTTTTACCCCTAACGGTTGACTGCTAAGCTAACGGTCGGTTTAACGGTACAACGCACACATGTACAATGCTCTTGCATGCTCATTCATACATACTCTCTCACCAAGAGATCAGATATGACCGAGTTGACAGCCCAGAAATTGCGTACGCGTGCGACAGCCTGCGAAAGCGCATACTTTGCAACGACCTGATACTTGAAAAATTGACTGAAAAGTTACTGCGTAACCGTTATCTTTATCGGTTAACCGTTAATTCTTCGTAAACGGTCTGCAACCGGTTAATCGGACTAACCGTTTGAGCCCTAGTTATGTACTCTTGGTACATGTATGATGTAATAGCAAGAGTATCCAACTTTGAGTCGGGTCGAGCGAGCTGCAACTCCCCGTGTCGAAAGGCGGGCTCACACCCCTACTGGCCCTAGGTAACATGGCTACATGTACTTCCCCTTGTCTAACCTCCAAGACGAAAATTAATGATAGTAGCCGACTGGCCTGGACGGTGTGAAACAGAGCGTCTCTGTATGTTTGTATCCATGGTGATGGTTTGGCATGGAGAGCCAAGAGTTCATGAACTCTTGGTGGTGCTCTTCAGACATATTATCTTCCTCGGCCTACTCAAGCTCAATGGATGAGGGGTGAATCCCCCCCAAAACACTGCCAGTATTGAGCAGGGAGTGGTGCTTTCTTGCAGATTTGCTGAGTCGAAGGTTCGATGGACTTCTCGTGTGCTCTGGATGGCAGTCGTGAGTCAGTTTGTGGAAACGCGTGAGCTCTGGTGTGGGGAGCACCTTTCCTACAATGCAACATGATGAGAATATCAGAGAGTGGTCTAAGACAAAGCACACCAGGTTCAAATCCTACTTGGAAGCAGAAGGATGAGTCGTGCTGTGACCCACAGTTACTGAGTTAGGGAACTCATGGCCTGGCACAAGTGGAACAAAGTTACATGGATGCAACGAATGGGACTTTAAAAAATTATTTGTTGATGCCATCTTTATGGGATTTTCTGTCTTTGGTGGTGGGTCTGATCGACCCACCTCCCACCGCTTTAAAAATGGGTCCAATAACATAAAAGAGAATATGGAAGGAAAGAAGGAAAGGAAAAGAACGGCGGGAAGAGATACGTTGAAAAAGACTTGAAACCACAAAGCAGAATAGCTCAGGATCCAGAATAGCTGAGGAACTGACAGAAACGGAACCACAATGGCACGGGTCCACATTAGGGGTGAAAGGATGATGTGGTTAAGTCGATTAATTAGTCGAAAAAATCTAGTCGATTACGATTTTTCTATTCGCTACAGCATTTTCGTACGACATACTATACGGTACGACGAAATATCCGGCATGTGCAGTGTGTCTACATGACTTTACTGCGTGCAGCACATGTACCAGAGTACGAGTCGATGCACGTGCAGAGAAAAAGAGCCGCGTGTCACACAACAGATCTAGAGTACTCTAGATCTATTGTGTGACACGCGGCTCTTTTCTCTGCACCGCGCACTGATTCGTACCCGCGAACTTTCGTTCCGGTTGCTTCACGGAACTCACTGTTCTGGACAAGTAGCCTTCAGAATCAGTTTGTGCCTGTGCGACGGTCGATGTTTCCAATATTTTTGTTCTCTTTGAAGTTTCAAAATTGATTGTAGTTGATGCAAAATGGTTTAATCGATAATAATCGATAAGCAATCGATAAGTTTTGGATTAACCGTTAAGGAATATCCCTTAATCGTTTCACCCCTAGTCCACATACAATATTGACTTTTGGGAAGCTAAAATTACACACAAACAGAAGCATAATAGTAGAGTAAAACCTGATGTAATCTGTGTTTAGCGACCACCTGCTCTTAACGACCGTTTTTTCCATGCACCGACAGTTCTACACACACACTGTGGGACCTGATTCTAAAGACCACCTGGCTTTAACGACCGTTTTTTCCATGCACCGACAGTTCTACACACACACTGTGGGACCTGGTTCTAAAGACCACCTGGCTTTAACGACCGCTTTTGCTTGCACCGTGGGGTGGTCGCTTAAACCAGGTTTTACTGTAGTTGCCAGGAAGCTGGACATATTGACAGCAATCGGGCAGCTGGAAACAGCCTGAACAACTGTGATTATCCTTACACAATGACATGAGAGCACAATATGGATCTTCCTTTTCGGCTGCCTGTTTCTGCCTCGCCCATTTCCTCCCCTTGCAGACATTAATAATCAATCGGCCTTCTCTTTTCTCTTCCGTGTCGTTGATACAAAGTGATACGTGGCGCAGATTTGAGTGAGAACAGGGGTTAGAAACCCGAATATTAATATGGGTCACTCAAATCAACTGCCCCGTAAAACACTGGCAGCAACATCAGGGGCGTCGGACACGGTACGGTCACAACGGTATTGACCGTACCTATTTTTGCCCAAGGTGCCCCGTGAATCAATAAAATACGCTGATCTGGACTCTCAGTCAGGGCGCGTTCGAATTGTCTTCATGAACTGTTCAAACGAATTTTAAAAAGAGATTAGTTGAAGTGTCCCATTAGAACGGTTTCTATCATTTTAGAGTTTTTCAGTGGAATTGTCATGGCGATGATGACGTGCGATCAGATCAACCATCTCCACCGTGAGACTCCACATACTACGTGACGTAGCTATTCCAAACTCTTTGAAACTAATCCACCTCTCCCATCGGATGAGGTTGTGGAGTTTCGAGGAGCTTCGTTTTTTCTGAAGAGGCCAATAAGAAACTCCTCGAAAAGTCAAAGAGTGATAATTCGAACACGCCCTCAATTTCCAAAATTTTCCGCTCAGCCATCCCTCCCCCTACGAGTAAACTGAACCTCAGGTGGCTGACCGTACCACACTAAAATACCTTCCGACGCCCCTGAACATCAAGCCGCGCATGTTCCTTGATGTTGGCAGTTTATAAAATATATCGTAGTTGTTCTCCGGCCAGTACCTACAGCATAGACACATTGCTGCAGATTTTATTATTTTAGCAACTGTGCGGTACGCGGTGCTGTCACAGATGGAGATGAAAATCCTCTGTGTATAGGTCATTCTTACTTTCATGTACAATCATGTACTATGGTCTATGCACAGTTAAGTCACCATGGCATGCTGTGCTTGGTGAAATTCTAGCCTGTTCGCTCTTCGGCACTACCGGTACGTTCCTCGGCACCCGCCAGTACTGTAATCTTATCTATACTGCCACAGGAGTGGTTATACGCCTATAGCCTACTAGCAATGATGCTGTTTAATTTTCTACATTCCATTTTTTTTAGAATCAGTGTCACCAAACAATACAAACACCAGGGAGTACTAAAAACCGTTTTTTTTTATTTTAGCACATGTACTCCCCCTGGCCTAGGCCCTGACGTGACAATCACTGTCCGCATAATCTAAACACAAAAGTGAGCAAGACACACTTACCTCTTCAAGAGAGTACGAGTCCTAACTTGATTGGCTGCCGTTGTCACATCACGTAGCTCCATGGTACTACCGCTGAAGCCTTTGAGCAACATTTTACCTTCAGACTCGACTCACACAATCTGTCCAAGAACTTGAGGAAGTACATTGTATTGTTCGAGTCGGACTTCCAGCCCAGGAAACCGCAATCATACTAGTAAGTAAAGTACTAACGAGCTCCATAGCTGGGACAAAGATCGCAACTCGAATTTAAGGTACAATTTGCCAACATTTCCCTCACAGTCCGACACTCAAAGTCTTCTTCTTGCTGATGTCAAGAGTGGGGGTTATCAAGGTTATGAACTCTTGCTGATGTGTATGCGCTTCTTCATGCAGTTCTTGCTGGTCATGTCATCCTACATTTTCATGTCCTCACTTTCGCATTTCCCGCGACCAACGATCAGGGAAAACCCCGAAGCGATTACGTAAAGCGTGAGCCTCTGATTCATCAAAAATAGATCTCTGTTTAATAGTCTGTACATTTTGGCATCGACAGATATATCCCATTCTGGATTATTTGAACATTTTCTACACTACAAGTACAACGTATCTCTTGTCCACACAGCTAGCTGTAGGATCCAGTTGATATTACGGTTCCCTTCCCCCTAACTCTAGCCGTAACCAGTTCGAAAGCAATAATTATATATTCATAGTTCATACGAGCGAAGTAATGATTATGTCTATGAGTAGAAATGCGTAGTACCGGTGACCGTGCTTATTAGCTCGTGTCGTAAATTTCTCAGCAAGTACAGCTGCGATCATGACATGTATTTCTCAGCGGTTGCTGCTTTCAGCTCGCGGGACCCTCTTCAGAACTCCATTGTCAGGTGAGAAATGTTTTCTTCAAAAATCGAATTGCTACAGTACACACCGACATTTATTTACTAGTACATTATTGTGTTTTCACACAATCTCACACAATCGTCAATCAAATGATTGGCGATTTCGTCTGTGATCGGTGGGGTGGTGAGCGAAAGTCAAAATGGAAGGTGCTAATATCAAACCCAAAACAGCAAGCCAGGCATGTGGATACTGAAGGAGTTAGTCCGCTTGGGTATGATATTGCATGTTGATATTGTGCTGTAGAGGGTGTAAATGCTGTGATACTGACAATATCCGACAAACATCACACACGCACACATACACACACCTAGTAAAAGATGAAACACATGTAATCGTAATCATTCATCAAGTGACAGGGGTGTAGCAGCCGGGCTTTGGCTGGACCACTTTTTTTTAACATAATGCCAAAAGTGCCCAGAATACAGGATTTTGCACCCAAATTTCAAAATTTTCACAGGGGAGACCCCGGACCCGTCCGGCCAGACTACCTCCAACAGCAGTGCTACGTCCCTGAGTGACTCGGGAATCATGCCCACCATCCAGGTCCGCACTTTGGCTTTGAGCATGGCTTTATTTCACACCCCATAGCATGTAGTTGCCAATCAAAAGAGGTGGGGGTGAAAGCTGATCACGGCTGAAGAACCGTAAGGAACTGAAAATAGAAAGAAAAGAGAGAAAAGGAATAGAGAAAGGTAACTAGAAGGGGACTATTGAAGTGCCGAAAGCTGGGTCTCTGAGGCATGATGTGAGCTTAGTGGCGACTGTGGCTAGGATCAGAGAATTGCGTATTCTGTGGCTAGAGTAGAGGAGTCGGAGAACCAGTTATAACAGCTAAGATGTGGGGATGGAGGCGCAATTTAATCACGTGGCAAGTTTGAGTAAGTGAGTGCGCCGCCTATGCAACAGTGGGGTGGTCTGGGTTGGGTGAGAGCATACAGTTCAGTGGAAGGGGTCAAGTGGGCTTCGCAGAAAAGGAGCTTTAGAATCTCTCTGTGATGTGTTTCTAGGCATGTTACGTTTGTTGCTGATAAGCCAGCCCAAGACACGTCAGCATAATCAAAAAGCGATCTAAGGTGCATAGCGCAACTCTGCGTGACAATGCGAGCATTTTGACATACATACCGTAATTCCGCGCATATAAGCCCATGGGCTTATATGTGAAATAATGCAGTTTGGGAATAAAATATCCAGTAAAACATGTTCGTTTTTTAGCCCATGGGCCAATATTCGAATTTTGAAGGTTCACGAAAAAGTACAAGTCCGTTCTCATAGTGGGTCTATCATATTCTTCTGGTAAACTACTAAACTCCACTGACCTGCTGTACCATGGTAGCAAGAGTCCATTATTGTGAAAATATTCTACTTGACAAGTGAGTCGTATGTGTGCCTGTTTATTAGCCCATGGGCTTATAAACGGAGGTGGGCTTACCGGTATATCCGGATATAGGCCCATGGGCTTATATCCGGATATAGGCCCATGGGCTTATATGCGCGGAATTACGGTAATGTGTTTTGGTTACATGTTTGGATAATTAGAGTGTCGAGATAATTACCGTATTTTCCGGGGTATAAGCCGCACTTTTTTTCGCTAAAAATCGGACCAAAATCGCCCCTGCGGCTTATACACCGAATATGCTTGCGCGAATGAATGCTTAGCATACATCAGTATGCATGCTGACGTCATGTGACATGTCATTCGACTCTTCGCGCCTGTGTTGCTATCCCGGCACTTTTACTACTACTTCGAAGTAGTTTTAGTGCATCAGTGGCAGCGAGACTGAAGATAGTGCAGATGACATGGAGTGATCTGTAGTCAACACAGCAATACACCAACATCTCTGCAGCAACCTGTGGTGCACTAACACTTCATAATCTGATCTAACATGGTATTTAGCTCCATAACCATAATAAATTTGTAGAAAGGCCATTTGTCAATGAGTGTGAAAAATCTTGGTTTGTGGGTGCGGCTTATACTCCGAATACCAACTTTTAGTCAATATTTTGCCTCAAAAAGGGGGGTGCGGCTTATACCCCGGTGCGGCTTATACCCCGGAAAATACGGTAGAAGTTTTTCTACGGCTTTTGGGGGTTTGAATTATCAGGATTCGACCTGTATTTCCCATCACATTATGATGAATCCTGTGTGCTTTCCTCTTCCAATCTGCTTTTTTCTGGGTTTATGCAGAGACCCTTTCAAGCACAAGAGCGTTTCATACGCAGGGAGGTGAGAAATGCTGCGAAATTTTCTCTTGTATGCCATTTGGAAAGCAAATGTCTGTGAGATAGATAGAGACAGACAGACAGACAGACAGACAGACAGAGACAGACAGACAGAGCGAAGAGATGTTGAATTGCTGATTGTGTTTGTTTCATAAACCAGAGAGCTCAGCTCAGGACCCTCACTGTATGTGTATATGAAGATCCATGTCATCATCTGATCATTGTGCTGAGCTAGCTAAACTGGTGCTCCATCTTATGTCACGTGAGATGCGAACAGACCCACAAACACGTGCACACACGTACATACACACACACACGCATACATACACACACACACACACACATACACACACACACACACACACACACACACACACACACACACACACACACACACACACACACACATACATACACACAAACATACACACACATACAGCCATAATTGTGAAATAAAGCATGGAGGACCCTGGCTAGCGCCAGACGTTACTATTGAAATGTAACTGTACCTGTAACTATCATACCTAACTGTGCATGTGTGTCGACCTTCATGCAATATCTTGTTCTCTTGTCATGATGCATGTAACACTGTTGTTCCAGCTAGTTCCGCTAGTGTTGTCCGTGCTAGCGCTTTGTTCTCCTGGCGCCCGCGGCCCGATCATGTATCAAGGCAGCGCAGTGCATGCATGCAGTGATTGTGGTGTCGCGCGTGTGGAGCTGGTGCGTGACACGTGCTGGTCATTTTTATACTCCGCCATATTTTCTCCTTTGGACTTGGTCCTTCGTTTGGGACCGGGTCTTCCTTCTTCTTTCTTCTTGGCACTCGACTTTAGTTTTAGCTTTGTTTGCTCTCCCAAAATACAATGTGAACCATTACTCTCTGGCTCTCTGGCTTGTCGCGTGTGCCCGTCGGAGGGAGTGATTAGTTTACACTATGTAACGTCGTTTGCATAACTTCGGGAATTGGGCATGTTTTCTCTCCTGCCCTTGCCAAAGTCAATTCTCAATAATACTGTAATGATAATTATTATGTTGTGTCCTGTAGGTGGCCTACGGAAAGAGGATTTGTATAAAACGCTAGATGTCCAGCAAAATTCTTCCCAAAATGACATCAAGAAAGCATATTATAAGGTAAATTATACTTTGAGCATTTTCTTTGTAGCGTTTTGTCTTCTGGGAAACTATACTTGGAGATTGACCTTTTAAAATGCTTGCGCCCGTGTGGGCTAACTTGGCTTTGATACTCAAAGCCGGCATTTAAAAAAAGGATATGCGTTGCGCTCTGATCCTGTGGCTTGCTATGATTGACATCACATGTCAGCAACTAAAAGTTGCTTTTTAGGCCATGTAAAATATATTGATTGTTTATTGTCAGATTTTTCCTGAGAAATCGGGGCGGACGGGAGTTGTTTTTCGCGTATATGGCTGTAGGGTAGGTGTTCGTATTTTCTACTCACACGCACACGAACCCTTCGAAGACTGTATATTCATGCACTCGAGTACTCATACACTCGAATCATCACACAAACTGTGGGGCTTGATCTGTCTTACAACGTTCTTGCAAGACGATACAACAACAGCTCCTGTTCTCTACAAATCCTTAGACACACACTAAAGCACTATCAACTAAAAACCAGCTAATTTATGCACAGAACATATCCTGAAAAGCAGCGAAACAAAGGAAGCCAAAGCAGCAGGCATGGAAAGATCCCGTACGCACTATGAACTCTTGCACTCTAGATATGTGCAGCGTACGATACTAGTTCAGCGGCTACTAACACTAGCATGACAGACATGAATGAAACCGCAACCAAGTGAGCGTGACACAGATTACGAAGGTAATGAAAAGAACCAGACTGTCATCGCACAACCGCCTATTGTCGGCTCACACACAGAAACCAGATAGTCTAGCAATATATGAAATGCGACGGAACATAATCCCCCTCTCACACAAAGGGTATAAGACTGAGTGTGATACCAAACAGTAACGATAGAACATGAAAAGACAAAGAACTAAAAGGAAATATGCAGGTCCATTCTATGCTGCTACTGTCACTACGGTGGGCTAAGGCACTGAATTCCTCAGCCACTATCTGCACACAATGGAACAAGCTGGTGAACACTCCGGCGCTTGATCTTGTCGGCGATCTTCACGTCCACTACCCTTACATGACCATCGGCTCCTGGATGGGTTCCTACGACTCTGCCTAGTGGCCACTGGCCACGTGTCACATCCGGACTTGGGCACAGCACCAAGTCGCCTTTCTGCAGCTCTCTTCTCTCTGCTCTCCATTTCTTCCTGAGGTTCAATAGCGGAACCAGTTCCTTCATCCAGCGGGTCCATACATGACACACATGCTGCTGTACTACTTGCCAACGCTTCCGCGGGTGGACGGCGTCAGAGGCATTCACTTCCATCTCCAAATCAAGTGGTTGCACTATGCGGCCAACGAGGAAATGATTCGGGGTCAGCACATCGGCATCCTGCGGGTCAGTGCTGAGCTGTGTGAGAGGACGGGAATTCAGGATATTCTCAACCTCGGTGAAGGCAGTGACGAGCTCCTCATCAGTCAAGCTGGCCTTGCCCAGCACATGAGTGAGTGCACGCTTTGCTGCTTTCACTACTGCTTCGAAGATACCGCCAAAGTGGGGAGAACGTGGTGGATTGAAACGCCATTTGATACCATCATCGGCGGACCGACGTTCTACCTTCTGCCAATCAATCTGCTCGGCAGCTTCACGAAGCTCTCTCTCAGCGGCAACGAAATTGGTGCCGTTGTCGGATATCATGACGGATGGATTTCCCCGACGCTTTACGAATCTAGAGAACGCCATCAAGAAGCTGTCTGCGTTCAACGATGTCGCCATCTCTAGGTGACAGGCCCGGGTCTCCACACAAGTGAAGACGCACAGATAGCGTTTCTGCTGTGCCCGACTGCGGCCTTGTTTCGTGAGAAATGGGCCCGCGAAGTCGACTCCACAATTGCTGAAGGGTTTGAACGACTGAGTTGTTCGTACACTGGGCACAGGTCCCATCAGCTGTTCTGCTGGTTTAGCATTCATCCGCTGGCACCTCACACAACTTCGGCGTGCGCGTTTTACAGCTGCAAGGCCGTTCACGATCCAGAACCTCTGCCTGAGATTCGCCAGTAGGTGTTGGGACCCTGCAGAATGGTGGCATTGTTGATCCTCTTGCATGATCAACAGCTGTGTCACCCGATGGTTTGGTGGCAGCAACATGGGCTGCTGTAGACCACGGCCGAGATGTGCCGATTCCTTTAGTCGTCCACTCAGTGTCAGTATAGGAACACCTTCAATTGTGAGCAACACCGGATTCAGCCGTTGTAGCGGGTCGGATGCCGGCAGAGTCTTTCCAAGTGCAAGTCGCTGGATTGTGCCTCCATAGGTGTCGACTTGAGCCGCTCTAATCCAGTGTAGTTCCGCATTCTGCAGTTCTTGCGGCGACAACTCCTCCGTAGCGTGTTGTTCTGTGGAGTTGCTGGCTGCACTCTTTGCAGACGTCCCGTCAGTCTGTTGCAATGGTACCACTACCGCGCTGGTGGGAACCGCTCGCCCCCTCGTGATCCTTGCTCTCAGGTTGCCTAGGAATCGCAAGCACCATGCCGTGATGCGTACTAGCCGCGACCAGGACGAGTACGTAGATGGGCTTAGCCTGATCTGTTCATGTTCGACGGCGAACGTGATGGCTGGCTTCTTCTTCAGTTGTCCGGGGAGCTGAGCTGGCACAGTGAGGTTGGTTTTCGGCCATTCTGCCGGTGCCGACTGCAGAAACTGGGGTCCTCTCCACCAGGTATCGTTCCGTATGAAGTCGGCTGCGCGCTCGCCACGGGTGCCGAGGTCGGCTGGATTGACTTTGCCTGGCACATGGCGCCATTGATCGGCTGTAGTACTCTTGATGGCGTTCTCTAGATTCGTTCACAAACCCAGACATGCCTTTTTCTTCTCCTTTCTTGTTTGAAGCCATTTCGGCGCAGAGTGAGATAGATCCATGCGATGCAGATGAATCGTCAGCCACGAATAACATCTTGCAAGATAATTTCTAGGATACACAATAAAGGAACAGTGAAACAACCAACATAGGACAACAAAGAAAATCAGGCAGCTGATAATTATTACTTTATTAGTTTCACTTTTCAAGCGCATACCGGTAGCACCTACATGTATGGTTCAATCTGTGGACTTGGCCTTCAAAGATCTACAGCCACGCATGTATGGTTCAATCTGTGAACATCTACAGCCACGCTTATTAGAGCCAGTATACAGTAGGCATAGATCGCAGCAAACACAGTACAGCTACCAATACTGAAAAATAAAATAATTTGGCCGGGAAGAAACTCGGGGCGGGCGCTGCCGATAAACAATCAATATAATATTATGTTTTACTTGTCGTTAATTACTGGTACATGTTTTCAAGTTAGATGGCATCTTCTTTAGTGAGTACCGTAAAGTACCGTTGATCCCCTACGCCATGTCACTTCCCAGCTGGGTTTTCGGCGGGGGGCGGGAATTCGATCAAGGCTGTAAAGTGCAGTACGATGTACAACAACGTGGAAGATCAGACTCGATGTGCTGGATTGTGCATATTTTCATCCTGCACTGGCACGTATTGTGTACAGCAGTACATGCGTCGGTTTAACATCGTATTTAGTTGTATACGCTGAAGTCGCTTCACAGGCAGAAATTCGACAGGGGGCGGCAAATAGAGAGGGGGCGGATCAACGGTACTTTACGGTATTAGTATGAACTGATATTTTACTTTTGCTGTTTGACTAGTGTTTTCATTCTCCTGGCAACGGTCCTGATGTGAATGGTGTTTCTTGTACCTACAATGCTGGCTTCCAGTATTAGGGAGGTTTCGCTCTACGGAATTACGTATGAAAATAACGTAGGAACGGCACGGAATTTTCATACGTAAAAATTAGGGGTGAAACAATTATACCGAATATTCGAATACTCGTTTGGATTTTCAAATATAATCGTACTCGGAATAAATCAGAGTACTCGCTCATACATGGTACATGCATTTACCACAGAAGTCTGCAGTTTCAGAGCAGCAGTCAGCAGATATTGATGTGCAGACTGTGTGATGAACATTTGTACACGAGTAGAGAGAGCCCAAATGACCCACCAACCAATACACCCGAGAAAAGAACTGCCAATCGATTCAATCAGGGTTGTATCATGTGATTTTTAAGGCGGTTGGTGTGCGATTTTTAGGATATCAAGAATACTCGAATATTCGATCGGAGAAAATCAGAGTACTCGAACTCGGGATCTCAGTGCCAACTTTCACCCCTAGTAAAAATCAGAGCTGTTGGGTTTCGCTCTACGTGATTTCAACACGACTGCTAAACATGCGTTGTTGCTTTGGAGACGCGTTGGCTGCATGCGTCTACCGCATGCACCATGAACCGAAACCGCGTTTTCCATTTTATTTTGCACGTGGTGTACGGTGTGTGTACCTTGTGTTTCGCGCGGCTTGAACGTTGCCATGGACAAAGGTGGAAAATGCGGAAAAAATATTTCAAAAAGTCCTACGGAGGACCCAACGTAGGAAAGAGCTTTCCTACGGAAATCCGTAGAGAGATTTACGTATGAAAGTTGCCCTCGCTCCCCGGCGCGTACGACATACGGATTTTCACACGTAATTACGTAGAGCGAAACCTCCCTATTATGTTCCAATGGGAACTCTGTTCCAGAAGAATTGAATCCTGCTGACAAGGGGAGTTTGTCTACTGATTTGCATGTAATGGTCAGTTTTCTACTGTAGTGTAGTGCGGAATAATGACAGCGCCACCACCACCACCACCACCACCACCACCACCACCACCACCACCACCACCACAACCACCACCACATTCTAAGTGCCGCTTGTGTTTGCCTCTTGTTGTTTTGCAGCTAGCTAGAAAGTATCATCCGGATGCTAACCGTGACAATCCAGAAGCTGCCAAGAAATTTGCACGCGTTGCTTCGGCATATGAAGTAAGTTTAGTCACATGAGCATAAGCAGTAAGCAACCTGCTGTTAAGTCTTGCCTATCTCGCCGCTCTTCAATGGTAGAGAAAGTAGCTCCAGTCCTGATCACATACGTTAGATCGGGCTTTTGTTAGGCTTGTCCATGCAAATTTTGAATGGTCGAGTAATACTACATAATTATGGTGATCCGAAGATCAACAGCTATTGTTCGGAGAGAAAAAACTGCCCAGCGGGTTGTCTTAGTTCCGGATTCCTGATCATTGATGCGTGTTGAATGATTCGTCATCTTCAATATTGCAACCAGGAGGACAAACTGTGCGGTAGCTATTCTTTACGTACGGGACATATTTGCAGTGTAGACAGGACAGGAACCCTGAGAGAGAGAGAGAGAGAGAGAGAGAGAGAGAGAGAGAGAGAGAGAGAAATGATTATAGTAGGAACAACTGTCCATACATGTTGTGAATAGCTGCTAAAATTGGCGCTGGAACTCGGTATTGCCATTGCATGCACTGAAGATGTACATGAGCCCAGAACCCGCCAGGAAAGACCTAGTTATACGAACGATTTCCCAATTCTTGTAACGCATGATAGTACTTGCTTCACTACCGTCACTGTGGGTTCCTGTTTTGCTTTTTTCTGCTGAACTGGACTAGACTTGTCTCATTTCTTTATTGTTGTTCTCTTTTTAACTTTGCTGTGCTTGCCGTTTGTTTAGACTCTGGGTAATGCAGAGAAACGGCAGAAATATGACATGCAAGGCGGTCCAGGTACGGTGCTGATTGTTTCTGGGCACAGTGATTACCGTATGGTCAGAGAACATGAAATCCTCTAGCCAGGCTGCTGCTCTGGTCTTATTCTTTCCTCGCCGACTGCTTTCCGGTTTCCTTTGTCCTGCAGCCGTACATCACATGACACTGTTGTTGTCAGTGTGTATTAGCACAAGTGTTTCTCTGTCTGTGTGTGTGTGGTGTCTGTCTGATTGTGAGCGTATGCGTGTGCTGTTCATCGCATGACATTCTGTGCGACTGTGTGTGTGTGTGTGTGTGTGTGTGTGTGTGTGGTGTGTGTGTGTGTGTGTGTGTGTGTGTGCGTGCACGCGTGTACGTGTGTTTGTGTTCTCTTGTTCCCCTTACTTCGAAATACTTATCCGTATATATTGTCTGCTTGCTTGCTTACAGCTGGTGGATTTTCCAGTACAATGGGTGGTAGTTCAGCAGGCACTGCTGGCAAAGCATCAGGCAAACCCGGTGCTCGCAAACCTGGTGAACAAGATGAGCAGCGCGCTGAAGAAATATTCAGAGCTTTTCAGGAGCAATTCGGCCGAAACTTTGACTTTGCCGACTTTGCCGAGAGATACTCGTATGCTTCTAATCAGGTATGGTTATAATATGGTTGCATTGTGCACTCATGTATTGAATGCTTAGAGGAAGAAATGAGTGTTTCATGCTCATCTTGCCGTTTGTAGCTGGCCTCTTTTTGCATGAAGCTGCAGGCTCACTACTTCACGTGCTGAGTGAAAGTTCAATGTTCATGAAATTCATTCACTACTTGTAGACCCCTGTACTGGTCAACTCCTGGTTCTGTTTTAGTTTTACAGTGTGCCATCTTCAACTTGCACGGTACTGGCATACGTATTCATCAAGGCATGCTCTAAGTGAGTTACCTGCCTGAATTGACATGTCTATCTGCTTGTAACTGGCAATGAGCAGGCACCTGGGCCTTCAGTATGAAATATGAGAGGATGTGCAAGTATAGCTGTTTGCGTGCAGACTGAAGATCTTTTTCGATTCTTTATTTTATTTGAGCTTTCAGTTCTTCTTAGATGAATGTATCTTAATGGGTTTTTGATAGGGCTGAAACGATTATACCGAATAATCGAGTACTCGTTTGATAACTCTAACGATCGAGCAATCGTTTAGATTACCGATTACGATTATTTTGCGTTTTTTTAATTTGTATCAAGAAAGTACTGTAAACCCTCGTTTTGTGAAGTTTGAATCAGTTTCCGCTGGGAGTATGCAGTTGCCAGGGGTATGCATGGTTCATGTTCTGAGGTTAAAATAATTGACTTCAAAACTGCCATGTCTCGGAGCTACCCTTTCACTAATGCAGATTTGTTGGTATTATGAAGGCATAGTTTGTGGAAACAGAGTAATGTTTGCGCAGAACTATGACTCTATTTGCTAACGATTATAATCGATTACTCGATCGTTAAGCTAAAGAGTAATTGATACTTGAAAATCCACGATCGTTTCAGCCCTAGTTTTTGATGTATTTTGATTGCTTTGCGTCTTCTTTAGATTGTTCAAGTTCACTTGACGTTTGTTGAAGCAGCTCTTGGCACGGAAAAAGAGTTAGATTTGTCCTTCACTGGTATCTGTCATCACTGCCATGGAATGAGATCCGAGCCAGGCAGCGAAACAATCATGTGCCCCAAGTGCGGTGGCACCGGAGAGGTATGTTATTTATTGGTTTTGCTCAATCATAGCCACTTGCCACACTGTTCTGTTGCTACCGCTGTTGTGTTGGTTATCTTATCACTATTCTCATGTTTGCCTGCTGTATCTACTGGTGCACATGGCTCTTTCTTCTTTCTTGTCTTGCTATGTGCTTGGTTTATTGGTGATCGGTGGCATGAAACGTGTGCATGCACCGATATCGGTTTCTCCTAGTTCTCACCGGCTGAGCGGAATGTGAAGCTCAGTTATGCTGCAAGTTGTACATAATTCAGTGGCTGCTAGTACCGCGTTTGAGCAGCCACGTTTATTTTCTCCTTTTCCCTGTTGGCAGGTCTCATTATCCACTGGATTTTTCAACATGCGCTCCACGTGTACCGACTGTTCTGGAAAGGGATTCCTTTTTACAACTGCCTGTACTGTCTGCTTTGGGCAAGGTCATACGAATCAGCAGAGAAAAGTCGTTGTTCCGTTTCCAGCTGGTAAGTTTAGGCCTTGCTCGGGACGTCCTTACAATGTTTGTTCTTATAATGCCGGTGCTGCGATGCGATTACGGCTGAGTCAAAGATGCATGGGACAGTGTACTAGCTTGTTGACGCTGTTTTTGGTGCTTTGTTTTTGTTTTGTTTTAGGTGTGTCTGATGGTCAGACTATTTCGGTGCCCGTGACTGGAGCTGGGACATTCTTTGTGCAGCTATCTGTACGTCACTGTTATTCTGACCTGTTGTATGTGTCATGCGCTGGTCTAAAAGCAGTTATGAAGAAGACATGCGCCTCAGGCCAACTCTACGCGGCAATCTGATAAATATGCATATGTGATACAAACCATCAATTGTTTCACATCGCAGTGCAAGCTTTCAGCCATAGGCCCATCTTCATGAATGGTGACTTGTTATGCTAGTGGTATATTGGTATATTGTCTTGCAAAGTACGACTTACCTACACGACTAGGGTGGCAAGTAGGGCTGAAACGATTATACCGATAACTCGCATATCGATCGTTAAGAGTGCGATCGATAATCGTTAGTGTTCAAAACGAGTACTAACGATTTTTTACGCATGCATATCAGTGACAGTATTCTAGCCCTTGCACTCCATCTGATAGTGGAATACAAGTGCAATCATGTACTTTCAAGACTTTCAAGGGCAGTAAAATTGACTTGTGGCTTTGAAAGAGATTGGGAGAGAAACTTTGTCTTTTCGGTTTATTTGTGGGAGAAGTTGGAGATGAGAGGAGTTGCCAGAGGGTGATGACATTCTTCGCTCTAGAAACAACATGAAATTCTCTACTTGAGTAGTTCATGCTGATAAAACCAGCCAGATATCTACATATGTCAACAGGTGCGGTGCCACAAATTTCTAGCGTAGCAACGGCATCATAAAATTTCTTTATCAACTGGTGTTTGGTATAGCCAACAGGAATCGATAAAACCAATATATCGATCGTTAATGATACTGGTTGATCGTGAGTTATTGAATGATCGTTTCAGCCCTAGTGGCAAGCAACATTGCTTCTAGAAGGTGACATTCAGTTGGTTTGCTACTGTAGCACAACATGGTATCTTCCATTATGAATTTAGCGTCTTGTCTCTCCTTCTGCATCTAGGTGGCTGGCAATAACAACCTTGTCCGAGAGGGTTACGATGTCCACTCCAATGTCGAAATTAGCTTTGCAAAGGTATCGTTTTGACCTGCTATGACCTGTAATGTGGTACATGTACATGCACTGGAAATTAGACCCACGGTTCACCCAATCTTGAGAATCTGTTCCCTGTCCGAATCTGGCCAGGGAAGTGCTGTGCACTTCTTGTTTTTTTTTGTGGATAGCAACTTCTCGTCTGCCGGTCCTCCCTTTCACTCCGATCATGTTGTTTGGTGGTTTCTTGGTGATAGTTGGTCGTCTTCTTAGTAGTAGCGGCTGGCTGCTTCTTCGAAGATGTCTTCAAAGCCGTTGCTGCTTTGAAATACTTCTCTCATAAGTAGTTCAGCATTGTCTTCATTTCCGTGACAGGCTTATGTCTCCTTCTCTCGAGTGCGACCGGAATTCTTATGGTACTGTGTAAATGAGCGTGGCTTCACCACCTGATCAAATGTTGTTCTCCTTTCTTTGGTCCGCCCATGTATTCTACTGCAGGCTGTACGTGGTGGAACTGTTCGTGTCGATGGTGTCAGTGGCTTGGTGGATGTTGTTGTAAGTAGCACAGTTGTTGGCCTGTAGTTACCAGTAAAAAAATAAAATAAAAATGTTACCAGTACAGCACGTGAAACATTTACACCTGCGTGTACAACTGGGCAAGTGAATAGCAACTTACTGAGAGAACCATGGCTAAGTCTTGCTAAACATCATACCCTGGTTCGGATGACCATGGTGTGTGTGTGTGTGTGTGTGTGTGTGTGTGTGTGTGTGTGTGTGTGTGTGTGTGTGTGTGTGTGTGTGTGTGTGTGTGTGTGTGTGTGTGTCAACAGGACAGGACAGGACAGGTGTGTGTGCGTGAGTGTGGGTGTGCATGGGTGTGCATGGGTGTGTGTGGGTGTGCTTGCACCCAGGCACCTGCAAGCTCAGACGCATGAATGCTTACACCTCTTCTCCATCAGTGAAGTGACCCACAGCAGGGCAACCTGCAACACCATTCGACGGTGCTCTGTTTTGGATCTGTGTGATTTGTGATTCTTTAGATACCGCCCGGGACCCAATCACATGCCACACTGCGGTTAGGTGGTCGTGGAATTAAACGTTTAAATGCTGTTGGCTGTGGAGACCACATTATTCATGTGAAAATCCTCGTTCCAAGGTGAGTAAATTGCTCTTAGAACTACCCGCCTTTACCCGTAGCATCCGCCGTCTTGTCCTTTGCCCTTTGAAAGGCTTTGTGTAAGGTAGTACCAAGAGTACATAACCAAGAGTGTGCAACTCGACGATCCCCAAGCCCACGGCGGAATTTTTTTATGACATCATTTTATGACATGGTTCGCTGATGCCATCATGCGTAGCCAGAGATCAAAGTACAAAGAATTTGTACATCACAGCTACGGTAGTCGAAGCAGAACAACGGACGATAGATCGATGTGTCCTGAACCTGGTGAACTCTCACCGTATCTACAAAAATGTGCGGGAAAGCATACACACTTGATCATACTTCAGCCAAAGAATGACGCGATAAAAAAATTCCGCCGTGGGTGAACCCATCGCAGCTCGAGATAGGAGTTGCACACTTTTGGTTATGTACTCTTGGTAGTACATTGTCAGGATGTGTCCTGTATTCATGGTAATGGGCAGAATGATCATCCATTGCTTAGTCATCCAGTGTGGACCTTCTTGTAGTGATCCTAATATATTCCCATGTTTGATCTCCCTCATCGGACGCTGCTGTCCCTAAAGCTTTTGCCACAGGGTCTAACTAGTGTAAGTAGAGAAGTTGCGCGCAACGAAAATTCATACTTCGAAGTAAGGTTGAAACAACTATACCGAATATTCGAGTACTCGCTCGGGTTTTTCAAAAATAATCGTACTCGGAATAAACCAGAGTACTCGTTCATACATGGTACATGCATTTACGACAGAAATCTGCAGTTTCAGAGCAGCAGTAGGCAGATATTGATGCGCAGATTTTGTCCACGAGTAGACAAAGCCCAAATGACCCACCTTTCCAATATAACTAGGGGTGAAACGATTAAAGGATATTCCTTAACGGTTAATCCAAAACTTATCGATTACTTATCGATTATTATCGATTAAGCACCACTGACGACAAAACTCACCATTTTGCATCAACTACAATCAATTTTGAAACTTCAAAGAGAACAAAAAATAATGGAAACATCGACCGTCGCACAGGCACAAACTGATTCTGAAGACTACTTGTCCAGCACATGTGCAGTGAGTTCCGTGAAGCAACCGGAACGGAAGTTCGCGGATACGAATCAGTGCGCGGTGCAGAGAAAGGAGCCGGGTGTCACACAATAGATCTAGAGTACATCAGGTAGATCTACCGGGTACGCGTGTAGTGTGTATCCAGAGCATGAGCAACTCGCTGTGCGTGCTGCACGCGTTGTTTGATACCTCCGTGCACGAGCGCATCGACTCGTACTCTGGTACATGTGCTGCACGCAGTAGAGTCATGTAGACACACTGCACCTGGCGGATATTTCGTCGTACCGTATACATGGTATAGTATGTCGTACGAAAATGCTGTAGCGACTAGAAAAATCGTAATCGACTAGATTTTTTCGACTCATTAATCGACTTAACCACATAATCCTTTCACCCCTGAATATAACCGAGAAAAATGACTGCCTCTCGGTTCAATCAGGGTTGTATCATGTGATTTTAAGGCCCTTGGTGTGCAATTTTAGTAGATGAAGAATACTCGAAAACTCGAATATTCGATCGGAGAAAATGAGACTCATTATCAGAGTACTCGAACTCGGGATCTCAGTGCCAACTTTCACCCCTACTTCGAAGTAAGATCTTGACCGTCCGGGTTCGAGTAAAGAAAGCTGCTATGAAGATTCGTCCAAACGCGACCGAAACAGAGCAGATCTATGAAAATAATTTTCGTCACATGGAGTACTAAGATATTGATATTTTACCACTCCCTGTCTTGACACTTCGTAACCGCGTCGACCGACGAAAAAGTCCACATGTGCGCAACCTGACAGTTTACAAATATTCTTTAGCTTTTTTTCGTTGAAATTTTCGTTGCAGTGCTACGAATTTTCATTGTGTGCGCGACCTCTCTACTGTCTCGCCTGTGCACATGCTTGCCTGCATCTGTGTGGTTTTACATTTGTGCAGACGCCTGACAGCAACGCAGCGCGAACTGATAGACAAGCTTGCTGAGGAGGAGGGTGAGACACACAGCTATGCTCTTGTTTCTTGTCTTGTTTGCTTGACGGTCACTGAGTGACGACAGTACACAGAAACATCTGTGCTTAGCACCGCTCTACCCAGAGTTTTGATGTACTAGTATTACTATTAGTGCTCACCATTTCCGCGAGAAGACCTTTTCTTTAATCAATCTTTATTAACAGTGGATGTACACGTATGTGTGAGCTCTGGCCAGCACAGTGCAGCTCCGCAAACTCTTACCATCGTAAACACGTATGTGTGAGCTCTGGCCAGCACAGTGCAGCTCCGCAAACTCTTACCATCATAAACACGTATGTGTGAGCTCTGGCCAGCACAGTGCAGCTCCGCGAACTCTTACCATCGTAAACACGTATGTGTGAGCTCTGGCCAGCACAGTGCAGCTCCACAAACTCTTACCATCGTAACGTATGTGTGAGCTCTGGCCACAGTGCAGCTCCGCAAACTCTTACCATCGTAAACACGTATGTGTGAGCTCTGGCCAGCACAGTGCAGCTCCGCAAACTCTTACCATCGTAATGTATGTGTGAGCTCTGGCCAGCACAGTGCAGCTCCGCAAACTCTTACCATCCTGACGTATGTGTGAGCTCTGGCCACAGTGCAGCTCCGCAAACTCTTACCATCGTAAACACGTATGTGTGAGCTCTGGCCAGCACAGTGCAGCTCCGCAAACTCTTACCATCGTAAACACGTATGTGTGAGCTCTGGCCAGCACAGTGCAGCTCCGCAAACTCTTACCATCGTAACGTATGTGTGAGCTCTGGCCAGCACAGTGCAGCTCGGCAAACTCTTACCATCGTAAACACGTATGTGTGAGCTCTGGCCAGCACAGTGCAGCTCCGCAAACTCTTACCATCGTAAACACGTATGTGTGAGCTCTGGCCAGCACAGTGCAGCTCAGCAAACTCTTACCATCGTAATGTATGTGTGAGCTCTGGCCAGCACAGTGCAGCTCCGCAAACTCTTACCATCGTAACGTATGTGTGAGCTCTGGCCACAGTGCAGCTCCGCAAACTCTTACAATCATAAACTCCCTAGCTCTGAGAAACCTCAACAAACAAACAAACAAAAAGAAAAGATGTAGTGACATGATTTTTGGGCGGTTTACAGTGCGCAACTCTGCATACTTCAGTACTACCGTGGTACATGTACTATGTGACAGTGGCAGTGAGTGAGTTGATGATTGGTGATGTCTTGGCCCATTTTCTTTTCTCAGTGGTGCTGTGTGCCAACAGTGTGCTTGTCTGATTGTAGTAAAATGTAATACCGGTATACACGCGCGACAGTGTTTGCTAGGAAAGTGCCATTCTATTAATGTACAGCCATGTTCAACGAGAGAGCTTGGAAGCTCAGGGCCCTACGCTATGCTTTTTTGCCTTGATGACCTAGACAAAAAAAGCATAGGGATAAATTCTTATAAATTTCTACTTTTTGTTTTTAGACATAACCTGGGATTCGAACCCGCACTATCGCCCTGCATGCATCCCCCGATACACTTCGCACACATACTATTATCCATATAAAAATCGCTCTGTGAGCGGTTCTGAAAAACCTTTACTGGTACTGCCCCGTCGTAAAAGTAAGAAATTAGAACTGGCCCATTGTCCCCCCAAATGCGAACTGATCCACCTAAATCGCGAATGACGGGACCCGAACGCACCAGTAGCACGAGGTCGGGAGGGCACAGGATCATAGGGTAACACTAGTAGTAGTAGAATTTATTATTTTGATAGGGAAGCCTACCGCTAGTACCATACATGGCCTATGCCTAGGCTATGGTCCGGACCAACGTCCCCATCTGCATCCACAGGTAGGAACCTCGTGCTACTGGTGCGTTCGGGTCCCGTCATTCGCGATTTAGGTGGATCAGTTCGCATTTGGGGGGACAATGGGCCAGTTCTAATTTCTTACTTTTACGACGGGGCAGTACCAGTAAAGGTTTTTCAGAACCGCTCACAGAGCGATTTTTATATGGATAATTTCAGCTCTTTTTCCGTTCCCTCCCCACCCCAACCCCGAAGGTAAACATGATGACCACGCGCGCGATGTACTGTATGTAGCCATGCGACTGCAATAACACACTGATACATACCAGCCCTCCCCGCCTCGCTACCCCGCACACAGATACACAAACATGTGTATGCACACGGCACACACACGTGGCCACGCACACATACGCACATGCACACGACACAAACAGGAACTTCTTCATGTATAATGCCATGCAAAGCAGTGGCCACCGTACTTGAGGAAGTCAGTTGTGAAACAAAAATAATTCAACTACAGCGTGTAGACAAGCTGACGGCCAAAGCACAACATAGCAAACATGACATTTGCCCAAGGATTGCAGTTTGCAGACCATGCCATGGAAGCAGCGAATACAGAATGTAATATCATACAAAGTGACAAGCAAGGACGTGGCCATCATACACCAGAAACTTGCAGAAAGTCACATATCCAACAGATAGAGAAGTGAACAGCAATCTGATACAGCCCACACAGGACAAAGCGGACCTGAAACTCGTCCCAGGATCGCAAGTGGCAAACCCTTTTCAATGCATAACATGCAGGTGTACGTTAGACGCATGAACATCTGACCGTGTCGCCAGCATACAATGTCATCACATGTTTACCCCACAAGTTACACACATGCACAGTAGAAGCACAATGAAAGCAATGGAAAAGTACGATGTGGTTGCTGAAGCATCTTCACACTTCAAATTCAGACTTCAATGTGGTCGTCACGGGATGATATACCTGCAAGATACAAGTGATGAAGAAAGAAAGCAGAAGGTCGTGAGGTAGGCTATGAGACACCACAAACGGTTCACCTACATGTCTGTTCAGGGCTAGTGCACTCACACGGAGAATTGTCATAATCGAGCATTTCTCAAACTGAGAAGTGCAATGAAATCCACTTGCATGCACAGGAGCAATTTTGCAATATTATGATGCGCAATTCGACACGATCTGCGATGCTGCGTGCGATGTGCCCCTGCTGTCATGATAGTGACAGTCACCGCTGTATGTTTTGTCAACGTCGCCCATGCACTCTTCTGTCAAGTCCAAAGTGCTCACATACTTGGCAATGTTTTTGCAGTGATTAACTTTTATCCTAGTTATGTCACGGGTAGCTTTAATGAAGTACCCGCAGGCCGTGTCGATCTGCACATCGTCCACTCTCTCATGTACTTGGCCTGCTTTGTCTGTGTATCCATTTCATGTGCGATCCACAAAATCGACTAGACAGTGGGTGCAATACGCTCTCTACCTGAAGACGTTCTTCTGGCGACATCTCGCCATGTACTTGGCCTGGCTTTGTCTGTGTATCCATTTCATGTTCGATCAACAAAATCTCAATGCACTACAGAGACTAGACAGTGGGTGCAATACGCTCTCTATCTGAAGACGTGAACCATTAAATTTCTTGGAAAAGTTATACGTACACCTGAAACGTAAGGGCCGTTTCACACGAGGTACAAAATCGCGTACATGTCACGTTTCCGGTTATGTTCCCTAGGAGATGGAGCACTTTTGGCGCGAAATGTGAAACGCATCGTGTACGTTTTCAGCAAGACCAGGAGGGGTGTAGAAAGCAGGATATACCCAGCGTTCTACTGACAAACTTCGTTTTCCTTGCATTGTGATCTGTCGTCGTGTTTGCTTTTTTTGCTTCTGTTTGCTTTCATTGCTGGTTGCTGGTTGTGCCTTCCGTTTCGGACAATGCCTCGCCAAATATTCTCTGATGACCTGGAGGCTAGACTTATTGAGTTGTGGGCCGACTATCAAAAGTCAAAAAGTGGCCAGATGGTGAAGCGTATTGTGAGGGAAAGGGAGATCGCCGAGAAACTCAATGCTGCGTTCCGCTCAGGATGGTTGAATCCAGAGAAAAACTTGAAATTACACTTTGAACAAGCGAGGGCAATGCAGTCCTTCTACGCCTCGCCATCCTTTGCAACCTCTCTCGTCCGTTCATCTTTCTCTCCTTGTGGCGATCAAAGAAAACGAGAATCAGGGAGAGAACATCTCCTTGCCAAACTAATAATAATTATTATTATTTTGTGTTCAAAACTCCCGCGTTCGCATGCGGATTCCGTTTTTTTCGACTTCTGTGCGAGGCAGGTCAAAGCTGCCATGGCGACTGCTGCTTGAAAAGCATGTTGCGACACTCGTGTGAAATCACGCGCTGTGTACTGTGCCTAGAACGCCCATTCGTGAAAAGCCATGTACACCTCGTGTGAAACGGCCCTAATGAAGTACAGGAATAGAGAGAGTGACTACAATACGCTCTCGACCTGATAATAGTGATAACGTGAGTACAAGACACTCTCCACCTGATAACGTGTTAGAAGGTAACATGTCTACAGTCCCACCATACCCTTCCGACACGACTGTAGACCATTAATTTTTTTGAGAAGTTATACGTACACCTTAAACGTAATGAAGTACAGGAATAGAGAGAGTGACTACAATACGCTCTCGACCTGATAACGTGAGTACAAGACACTCTCCACCTGATAACGTGTTACAGTAGTAGAAGGTAACAGGTCTACAGTCCCACCGTACCCTTCATCATTCCTCATTCACCATCGCGCGATACCCTGGCACACACTGGCAACATATCAATGGGGTGCCTTACCGTCGTCTAGAGGAGACGTCTTCGCAGCAATATTTTCCCTCCTGCGCATTCAGTCGCCGACGCGACAGCGTTCACGGGGTCCGTTCCAGTTGCGGAAGACATTCGATTCATCGGGCCAATTCAGAAACAGGGCCGTGGACACACAGGGGGCAGAGGAGAGACATTGTTAGTGGACAAGAAATATGCAGTGGCAAGTGGCGAGTGCCGCATGGATGTCAAGTTGTCATGCACAATTCAGCTATTACTTACGGTCCAGCTAGTCCTGCCATTGCTCGCTCGTCCTGGTTCCTCCTCGTTCGTCTTCCTGCACGTCTGCACTTCTCCTTCCCCACCGTTGGCTTTGCGGTACGAGGGTGCCGGAAGGAATTCGCATCATGTATCCATGTACATGAAGTCCCACCATGACTCTCCATGTACATGTCCACGGCCACGTCAGCAGTTTGTATAGTACCGGAAGGAGTTCCCACGATGTCTCCAAAGGCCTAGAGCGGACGTCTTTGCAGCAATTCTTTTCGCCCTGCGCATTCAGTTCGCCGACGATGTCTCCAAAGGCAAAGGCCTAGAGCCTAGTAGAGGGGACGTCTTTGCAGCAATTCTTTTCACCCTAGTACCCTGCACATTCACTCCGCCGACACGACAGCGTTTACCATGGTTTACGGGGCCGTTCCAGGTGCAAAAGGTCCACGTCAGCAGTTCTCAACTATTTCGCGTACGGGATAGTCGCCGCGACAGCGTTTAAGGGGTCGTTCCAGGTGCAAAAGGTATCCATCAATGGCACTTTGCAGTATGGGGTACGGAAAAGGGGCCTCCTCGTTCGACTTCGTCGACTTCTGCAGTTCTCCTTCCCGTCAGGGGTACCGAAAGGGGCCTCCTCGCAGTTGTCCTTGCCGTCAGGTCCACGTCATGCAGTTCTCAACTATTTCGCGTACGGGATAGTCGTCTTTGTCGTACGCGACATCGGCGTTTACCGAGTGGCATTGGCACAAAGCAGACCGTTGACGGGGTCACGTGTCAAAAAAGTATCAACAACGTGTCGACTACGTGTCGACCACGTGTATAGCGGTACACTCAGCGGTACACTAATTCTCGTGCCATTCTCGTGTCACAAAACTGGAACATCGAGTACCAGTATGGAAAGGCTTCAGACAGGAAGCCTTTCCAATTTCTATTTGAAAGCCCTATTTGAATATGCATTGTGGCCAGCCGTCTTTGATTGTACGGTACGGGACAGGTACGGGTCAGGTACGGTCGAGGGTATTACGACACCATCTACCGCCTTGATGACGGCAAAAAAAAGAATAGGGATGTTATAAATTTTTCAATTTCCTATTTTTTCAGGCATTACCTGGGATTCGAACCCGCACTATCGCCCTACATGCATTCCCCCATACACTTCGCATTCATACTCATTCTTCCAAGTTGCTTCACGTTATGATCTTGCGTTTAAAAGCCCTATTTGAATAGTGCGGCCAGCTGTATATGGCCAGCTGTGTTTGGTACGGTACGGTACGGTACGGTACGGGACAGATACGGGATAGCGCCAGGCGTGACACAAACACACAAACAAACAAACACCAAATTAAAGCTGTGTGGACCCTGGCTAGCGCCAGACGTTACTAAAGTAACGTCTTCTGCATAGCTACGGGAATAAAATCCATTTTCTTGTTTGCACCCTGCTTCCATGCACAGCCCAGTGTTCACAGGGAGGGGAGGGGGGGGGGGGGCTTTATAATGCACAGAGCCAGTTGTCTCACACACAGTCAGATTTCCATGAGCATCATCATGTGTACTTCTGAGTCCTGACCTACCCGCACATGTATGGTATTTCTTCATGGCGTGACTCTTAGGTGCTGAGGAGAAGGCCGTTGAACAACCAGGCTTCTTCCGCAGGCTCTGGGACAAGCTTTTTGTCAGCTTCGATCCTGAGAAGGAGAAAGAAACTAATGCACGGCGGCGGCATTCAACTGGTGGTTGACCGTCTTCAACATCCATTGCTACTACAATTGTAGTCGACTGTCTTCAGCATCGACGCCCACTGCAGTCGGTAATTGTGCTGGTCACTTTGCCGTTTCCAACTGCCATTCCACCCACATACCTTATACTGGTACTGCGGTGACGTGCCGTGTCCTGCAACAGTCATCATGCAGCACCGGTGCAGATGGTCCTGCAACAGTCATCATGCAGCGCCGGTGCAGATGGTGTTGTGGCTGGGATCATTCATACCAAGTGCCGAGGTACTCTTTGGAATTTGATGTGCCTGCACAAACAACTTCACCTTGAATTAGGCTATTTTATTCTGGTTTCTTATTATTATAAACATGTTGGCTACTTCACTGGTCAGTGATCACAGTGCTAAATCCCCTCTAGGCTGATGTATTCATGCTTGAATCCACTGCACAGCACTGTCATGCTCCTCTGCTCAAAGGTGCAGATTTTGATTGCGCTGTTTCGGAACTGCTATAGTATATCAAGTTGAAGCCTCGGTCCTTGCACTGTGAAATGTTGAATACAGAAGGTTTGAACAACATGCCGCCGTAAGGAATAAGTGAACGAAGAGCGAGCTGTGTTCTTCATTGTGAGATTATTGAAGCATTATCCAGAGACAGTTATTCTCCACTTGGTGTGTGCTCATTCACCTGTCATGCTCACATCTGTGCGAAACCGACACACCAGTAACCGACAATGAGTCAAAAACCGGTCGTATTTCACATACCGGTAATCAAATGTAGCGTCAATCAGTGACAATCACTGAGTTGTGCAGAAGGGTATTCACAACTCACGCTTTCAATCCATTGTCCAGAGTGCATGCAGCGTGAAGTTTTTGCATAAGCGAAGGACCTACAAAGAGAGACCAAACAAGTCTACAATGCATGTCGCCTCACTGTGCCAATGGAAAGCCACGGGTGCCGTGTAGATTCGTGTTCTGCACAGAATGGGGAGATGGGACGGACCGCAGGAAGCACTTTTTGAATGGTCCAGTCATACCATAGTCTTTCTTGTAATATTCTTCATTTGTGTGTATGATAATAGTGGAAGGGTGAAATTAATGGCCTCCTGAGCATTTAACACTGGGGGCTGCCTTCTTGCCTGTACTCATGCAAAGGCCAGGAACTCTCGTGCCAACACACCTACAATATTAAAATTAATAGTCCTATTTTTGCATGATTTCTTGATCCAAATTTCATCCTTCACGAACATTTACCATTGCGTTTAATTTCCGGAATGGGTAAGTGAAGCATTGTAATGAAGATGACATGCCACGCAACTATAGCTAGCCCATAATTACAAAAGAGTCAAAAGACATAATCACATGCAGTTATCTACTCTTGGTTACGGGCTCTTACTGGTATGAGTGGTATCGTACATAATAGAAATATCGAAAAGTATTCTTTCTAGACCAAAGAGTGGTATATTTGATAACATTTAATAACGATAGAAATTTTTACGATACTTCTCCAGACGTTTTGTTGTTCTGAACAACATCGTCAGTGGATAAACTCCTTCTTTATCCACTGACGATGTTGTTCAGAACAACGAAACGTCTGGAGAAGTATCGTAAAAATTTCTATCGTTATTTAAAAATGTTATCAAATATACCACTCTTTGGTCTAGAAAGAATACTTTTCGATAATTATTACAATGAGAGTGAATAATCAACGGCTTGTCCACCAACTCTTTTTCTATAATAGAAATAGTCACTCTTTGCCACGTATAAAACAGGAACAATTATTGTCTTTATAAACCAGCATCATTTTCAGTAACCAAAATGCCCTCCTCATGGACATAGTGACATTGCAACAGTAAAAAGTGCCGGATTAACTTAAAAATGAACCACTAGCGCTATAGCATGCTAGCACTGTATACTTCTTCTGTTTGTTTTTTTGAAGTAATAATTAACGTACCTGTACTGTGTGCCAGCAAGCGTACAAAATAATATAAATTTTATGTATCTAATATTGACTGAGTACGAGGTCAATATAGGAAATAAAAGCCGAGTAAAAGACCGAGGCGAAGCCGAGGTCTTTTACGAGGTTTTTATTTCCTATACTGACCAAGTACGAAGTCAATATTAGATTTATCACGACAAACAGTCCGTATTTCAAATTCCAGAACGATAACCTCATGAATCCCGGTTTTATGATTGCACAACCGTTGCACCACCACCTACTCATGCAGTGACAATGCTGCACTAGGCACGTGCACCGTTCAACTGCGCAACCCCGAAGCAGTCAATATAGCCCTAAGGAGTGAAATATGCAGGAATATTTGACTGCTTAGGTATGGCAAAAATCTATGCGAGTCAATACTAAGGGAGTGATAAAGTATTTTATACGCTTGCTCGCACACAGGTAGGTACGTGCACGGGCACATGCAACACGAGACGCTGCACATGCCGCGAGACACTACACTCTACAGTATGCTATGAATATAAAGCAGCAACTACCGATATTTACTCTTCCCTGACTGGACAGCAGTCAGCAGTCATGTTAGCTGAGACGGAGAAGATCTGTGAAAACTTGAAAAGCAAACTATGCTACAGCTAATATAGGTACCGGTATGTACGGCGTTAGAGTGCACAACAACCAGTGCACAGGAGTCAATTTAAATCTTCCGAGAGATCAAGTTCTCTGCATGGCGGAGCTAAAACTACAAAACATATGAAACCGAGCGTTGAAAACAGAACTGGGTGCAATTCAAGTAGACTGTGAAGAAGACAACGCGGGGACGGGGCAATCACAGCCACAGACAGCAGCAGTCAGCTGTCACGAAGGCAAATGATACACAATGTCAGTGGCCACAGGGATATACTAGAGACCAAAAAAAGAGAAAAGAGAAAAGAGAGAGAGACACACACACACACACACAGGATACAATACATGTACACATCATAAAGCAGACCAGGGTTTTGGTGGACATCAACAAAACAGAATAAGTATAAGCAATGAGGGGGGGGGGGGGGGGGGGAGGCAGCTGGCAGAACAAATGAGCTTTATACAGGCAATGAAAATAACTGACAGGACAGTGGGGTGGTAACGACACATGGTACTTTACAGGAGGAATAAACTCTCATTGCCACAACAGGATGCTATAGTAGAGCGCTCGGCAGCGGCGAGTATTAAATAAGAGCATCAGCAAAAGGATACAACGAAAGCGTGATGCATGCAATGGACCCAGAGTGGTCCTGAGATCACGCCAACACCAGGTTGGATCGCGAAAATGCATGAGCATAGGTAGTCTGTGGGATACAGTCAAGACTACAGCTTGAGAGAGAGAGAGAGAGAGAGAGAGAGAGAGAGAGAGAGAGAGAGAGAGAGAGAGAGAGAGAGAGAGAGAGAGAGAGAGAGAGAGAGAGCATCAGCCAATATTAGGAGTTGTCCATCCAGCTTTCTTCTACAATTGCAGTAACACGCTTCTCGTATTCCCGACGGTTTTCCTGATAAAGCTGAGCAGCCTGGCTGTTGGCTGGACTGTTTGGATTAGGCTCATCCAACAAAGACTAGACACAGAAAAACAAAACAGACATAGACATGGCAAGTTACAAAAAAAAGGAACAGCTAAACTACGTGGAACACCCCAGTTTTGTACACCCGGGATGGGTCAGGTTGGTCAGCCTTGGGCTGGACAAACGATTCGGCCGCCATTGAGGTACACTACTGAGGAAGGTGATTCGCGAGTATCATAAAATACACAAGGTGGGAAAGGTACCAATCCAAAACTGATTGCACCGGTCCTGTTCTGGGCCAAGAACTTTGATAGGACATAGCTTTGGTTATGTACAGGAGGTTCTCATGTCATTAGCATGCTGCCCTGCATGTAGCCATTTCTGTTCCAATTGGAAAATCTTGCACCCTGTAGAGGAGATGGCGCCTTATCGGAAGTGTCCGTAAACAGGAATGGGCTCAAATTAATTTCTAACTATTATAATTTGAAAACTTTGTAACGGCGAGACTAACAAGCTTCGGCATGTCAGCCTCCTTCCCCAAACCTTATTTTGAGTGAGAGATCCACGTTGATGAGTCTTTGGGTCAACAATACTTTTCTGTCAAACTGTTCCGATAAGGCACGGTCCAGGGGAAAAGGCAAAATTCATCTGACTACATCTGCAGAATTGGGGTTCGAAGACCCCAAATCGGCAGTACAGAGTCAGCAACTCAAGTGAAGTTCTTCTCTGGGAAGACTGCAAGTTACGTGTTACCTAGAACTAGGGTGTATTGTACAAGGAGGCACACACAACTCTTTTACTCGCCAGCCTACTTTGATGTGTCACCCGCCAATCACCAGTCATACAAGCAAGAAAGGTAAACCACAGGTAACCTAAACGCGCACTGCGTGCTGTATGTAAAGTGCCCCCATGGACCCCAACTGTTACGCTGCGTATATTGTTTGAAACTTTTTTTTCGACCTCTTCCGTCACGAAGAACTCGAGGAGGCAACAGTAACCTGCTTATCGTCCCTGCAGCTGCTTCTGCACATTCTACCAAATATTAATTGGTGACACATGCTGGCACAGTTCTCTGGAATTCCCTCCATGCGGATATCCGAGGCGTCACCAAACTGGCCGCCTTCAAGTCAAGCGCTTTGCAACATATTCTTGCCTGCTTTTAGCTTTATGCCCATGTTTCTGTAGCTGTGCTGGAACTGCTCTATTTCGCCGCCACTATTTACCATTAGCCATGTCTCCCCCCTCCTCCACCCTACACAGTGGGTCCATTGTTATTAGGCATCTGCCTGTTTTGGTTTCTCCACTATAAATAAAAGAATACTACTACAGGTGGAATCCTGATAATTTGAATACTGTAAGACATGTATATATAACGAGGAAGCAAATCTAACGTTTTAACGGGTGACATTTCTTCGTTATAATAAGATCCGTTGAGGCCGTAACTGCTTAATATGCTGTGTGTGGATACGGCAGAATACTGCAAGATCGTTAACATATCTTCTCGTTAACCTATGAATTTTGGACAATCGTTAAATTTGCGACTCGTTATAATAACATGTCTTACAGTATGGCTTAATTAGAATTCTTTCCAGGACCGATTTCTGTCAATACGATTCCCACATAAATTTTTCTGATAATTCAAACCCCGAACCAGACATGTCAGGTTAATTCGAAGTTCCACGGATTCCACTTACATAGAAAAGGCGTGGGATTTGTGCTGATAATTCGAAGTTAGCAAAGTGTAATTCGAAGTTCACTGTACACTGTACTGGTCAGTTCAGTTTGCATGAGCAGGCTGTGCCGGTCAGTTCAGTATCCGTGAAATCCGTGTCTAAGGTCCATAGCGCAACTCTGCGTGACCATGAGAGCATTTTGACATACATATTGTTGTGGGTTCATGTTTGGATAATTAGATTGTCCGGATAATTAGAAGTTTTTTCCTGGCATGTCAAGGTTCGAATTATCAGGACTCCACCTGTACTAACAGCGGTACACGTATACCGTAACTCATGTGTAAGATAGCGTTGCACCTATGAATCTATAGCAATATCTCGGGCCCGTGGACCCCCCCCCCCCCCCCCCTCTTCAGGTTTGATTACAAAACAGCCATTGCAAAGCCAATATCTAGCGCACCCTATGCGACATACCTGTAACGAAGTTAGAATGGCGGACACATCATACGTTGGGCTCCATCGATTTTGTAGGATATCTAAGCAGATGCCTCCGTCTGCATATACTGCAGGCATGAGAAAAACCGAAAGAAAGAAAAGCAAGGTTTTGTTGAAATAGTTGTCCTCAAGGAAATACCATCTCATGAATACGTCAGTGCCCAGCGCACATGCACATCCCAGTGCTCGTAGGTCAGGGGGTGCACACTGCCCAGTGCTCGTGGGTCAGGGGCTGTACCTAGCCCAGTGCAGGATGTGTACACTGCCCAGTGTTTGCAGGTCAGGGGGTGTACACTGCCCAGTGCTTGCAGGTCAGGGGGTGTACACTGCCCAGTGCTTGCAGGTCAGGGGGTGTACACTGCCCAGTGCTTGCAGGTCAGGGGGTGTACACTGCCCAGTGCTTGCAGGTCAGGGGGTGTACACTGCCCAGTGCTTGCAGGTCAGGGGGTGTACACTGCCCAGTGCTTGCAGGTCAGGGGGTGTACACTGCCCAGTGCTTGCAGGTCAGGGGGTGCACACTGCCCAGTGCTTGCAGGTCAGGGGGTGTACACTGCCCAGTGCTTGCAGGTCAGGGGCTGTACCTAGTCAGGGGTGCACACTGCCCAGTGCTAACCGCCTCACACACAATCAGATTTCATTAAGCGGGACTATACCCTGCGGCTTTTCTCTATCGCGGCTGCGGCTCATGTCATAGTTACAATTCATAGGCAATAGCCGCAAACAGATCAAGACATACTTGCCTGTGCGGGGTGTTGTACCCAACATAAGATGGAAAAGAAGAAGGACAAAATGTTACGAGTTATGACTAACTGTCCACCAACGTAACCAGATCTTATACAGTCAGCGAGTGCGACAAAATGGCACAAAACTGACACGGAGTACTGAGACATTCGGCGACTTGACACCTAGCTCCAGCTCCTAGATCTGGTTACGTTGGTGGACAGTTAGTCATAACTCGTAACATTTCGTCCTTCTTCTTTTCACAATAATTTAATTGGCTCACCATCCGAGTTAAGGGGTCGTCGCAAAAGTTTTTTGTCGTCCCTGAAACGAACATGATTCATTTGGGGGGGGGGGGGGGGAGGGGGTGCGAGCCAAAATCGCAAGTCGACCGACACTGTACATATGACATGCACATGCATGCGATTTTCGTCGTCCAGCATAGCAAGCTGTGTTCGTTTCAGAGGGAGGGGAGGGGGTCCAAGTACGAAATGAACGATGTTCGTTTCAGGGACGACAGAAAACTTTTGCGACGACCCCTAAATAAGATGGAAAGAGGGAAAATACAACCATTGGCCATGCAACATGTTCTTACCATTAGGATGGAACATTTTTGAGATAAATCTAACTGTCGGTGGCTTATTAGGATACTCTTCCGTGAATTCCATGGTCAGTTTGAACGTGCCTGTAAAGTCAACAACCACACAAGAACGACAATAACACTATACTCAAAATTCCTTGAACCGAACCGGAAGCCGTCCGTAACTAGGAATTGTTCATAACAAGGAGCTACATTCAAGACGTACACCCAAGTGGAAGCACGGTACAACCAAGTGTATACACACTTCCAAGCACACACGTGCAGTGGTACATAATACATATGCTGACTACATTATAACTGCATGTGATTGCAGTGTACGCCAATACAGAACAAAAGAGAGGATTTCGCTATAAATGGAGGGGGACGATTACAGCTTTTGACTAGCGCTTAACCCTTTACCGGCCGATTAGTCACATCACAGAATGAAATTTGCGACAATTTTCCGAAATGTGGACACACAATGAGTCATAACTTTAGTTTGCCTTGATCGATTTTTACGATCTTGGGCTCCCTGGAAGGATCTCGACAAGAGGAACAATTGGAGATCAAACTCAAGCCAACACACGCGACTAGGCCAGCGCAGCAGTCCAGTGATAGCGCTGGAATCGTCCTGAATATCAATCCTTATCGGCCATTTCACTCTCCTTGCTCCTATCAATCTCACTTTTTTCGTGAAGACTCACTCGCGTCCCAAGCGCAATTTGAATCCGCGTTCCTTTAAAAACAGCTAGCGGGAATTGGGGGAATCCCCAACTCAGTGACAGGCAGACGCACTTTCCGAGCAAAGTGCTGTGACTCAACTTCAAAGCTTCGTAGCACACCGGCAGTACATCCTATCGCTTCGCCGATTGCGGCGATGGAACGATACGGGTTTCCTCTTCGATTTAGATATTTCGATGGAGGGGTGGGTTATACCAAGACTACATAAACACTGTTTGCTGTTTGCGTTATGCAGAGCTCACTGACTTGTCAGTTTGAGCAATCTGGCAAGGTACGTTCGGGCCTGATTGGAAATTTTTATTTCCATTGCTATCAGGTTCGGCCTCATTTCCTCTGTGCTGCGCTGACGAGTCCACAAAGGACGAAACAGTTCTGTCCGCAGATTGAGTAAACACTGTTTATGTAGTCGTCGTTATACTGAAGCGAAGATGGAAGAACAGGGGGAGAGCATGATGGATGCCCGAGGAATTTGCATTTGAGCATGCTGCAGGAGACGTCGTTTACTACAAGAAAGCTGTAAACCTCGGCGGAGCAGCCGGCACTGATAACGCAGTGGCATAGGGGAAGCGTAGCTGCTTTGCGTCGAGAGAATTTCTTCCGCTTGTACGACATTATCGACACCGACGACTCGCCAGTCGGCTTCTTTGCTGGTAGCCATGTCAGGAACGCACCAACCCAAGCATCCATCGAGGCACGAGACCGAGAAGGACGGTCAACTTCCACGGCTTCCAGAAACCAAACAAAGTAACTCCTTGTTTCGAAACAGTAGGTGTTTTATCTCCTTCCTAAATACACGCATGCGTGTTTACTGTACATTGAAGTACAGTGGTCCCTCTATAATCCGGCACCATTTGTGCCACGGAAATCTGCTGGATTAGGGAGGGTGCTGGATTAACAAATCTCATTTTCTGCTAGAATGTGCATGAAGAGGACATTTTGGCTACTGAAAATTGTGCTGGTTTATCGAGGGTGCTGGATTATAAAGTGCTGGATTAGAGAGGGACGACTGTACATGATTGTGTAGATTCTGCACTGCACGTGTAGCGCAACGGCATTTATTGGTTAGATTTTTGGATCGCTGATCGATCAATATTGCTTATACTGATTTTACTGTCGGAACACTGGTTTTGATCGCTTGATCTGACGTTATCGATTTATTCGTGTATTATAGATACAATTGTAGGTTGAATATTCTGATATGCATTGCGATCCTCTGATCTTCAGTTCTCCTTTAGTTGACCTTCTACATCTGCTTTTTGCTATATTTGAAGCACAGAGTGTGCATGACACTGTGCACTCTGAGCTAGCTTAGTAGCTATATATAAGGCATAGGGAGAACACCCAACTCTGGATTTGTGTCTATAAGGCATACGATATGCACCTCTAGCACTGTGCACTCTGAGCTGTCCATATATTCGACTCAAACCGGAGAACACCCAAGCCCGTTAGGAACAGGCCTGCTGCTGGGTCCATCATATTATACTCTTGGTCATACTGTTGTGGACATTGAAATCCGTTGAGAAATCAAGCAGCCACGGAGCACTGGCCTTGCAGCCGCGAGTACTGCTGGTCCACTTCTACAGTGTGCGTGTGAACTACAGTGCGTGTACGTGCTAGGGCGCCGGCCCCGGTTATTGCACCGGATTTCAATGTCCACAACAGTACAGTTATGTACATTGGTACTCTTGATAAAGTCTGATATGAAAATCAGCATTATTTTCTGTATGTTGAATGCCACAAATCGGTAGGTTTCACCCCAATTTGCCGCAATTACCTTGATCTGCATTTCCAGTCCACATTTCCTGAGAAACTCTTCCACGATTTTCAAAGGGGACAGGATTGCATTGCGCTGAAGGCGCGGGAAATGTCGGGGTCAAGGAAGTGTACGAATCTAGAGTCGGAATATTACTTGACACTCATTTGAAGTTACGTTCTGTGCTGTTGTTGTGTGAGCGTGACTATAAAGCTGTGTTCACAACTGGCGCGTGTACGCGTGAAACCACACGTTTGTGCGTATTTTGCTGGCTTTCGGGGCGCCATGCGTACGGAAACGCGCCGAAATGGAACTTCCAACATGTTGGAATTTTCTGCGCGTATCAGGCGCGTACCAGCATACAGGCCAGTCACTTTGACTGGCGGGGTCAACAAATTAGTACTCGAAGGTGTCGCAAGCGCTACGACTCGGATTGCCGTTTTTTGTGAAAGCCTGTGCGCGCGTTTGGGCATGCATGAACCGCCAGCATACCGCGTCCACACGCCAGTTGGGAACACAGCTTAATCCCAAACGGGTTTCTCTGGGCACCATGCACCTCAAATCTGCAGCAGTTTGACCCTAGCTGTTGTATCATCTGACTGTTCATTGAATGGTTCAATTGAGGATTTACTAGTATTGCTCATAACTGGTATCAGATTGTTTTCTCCTTTTCTCATGCACTCATCTTGAAGGTTAATTCTATTGATCTTCTCACATTGGCAATGTTCAAAAGCAAGAGTGTGTACGGTGATGACAATGAACAAAGACTTTAAATGCACAGCAGAGAGTAGAGATACGTACCGTCCTCAAATGGCGTATCTTGAGGGCTGTAAACGCACAAGCAAAAAAGCGGAGCAAGTGGATTCCAAGCAAGCAATCCACACAACATCCAGAAGAACTCGAATGGAGCCTAAAAACGATACATATACATGTACATACGAGACGTTTTCCGGCTCAATACACTTACCCAAATATCACGGCATTCCAAAGCATGATATTGTTGTCTGTCGGCGCTCCACTAACACCTGCTGGGGGATCATCTTGGAGCCTAAGGATACCAATTCCAACAAAACGTTGAGCAACAGAGACAGAAACGTCTTGTCAAGTTGAGAAGGTTGCTTGAAAAGCATCGATTCTTCATACCGCTTCAAGTCCCGCATGAGGCGACGTCGAGCGGGCGAAGTCATGGCTCAAAACAGGCTGTAATGGATTTCTATTCAGCAACGTCCAACTCTCTCAGCAACGGAACGTATGGCGTACTTAGAGTTTGCAAAGAAAAAAATAACCTCGAAGTATTGAAGAAGATTGAAACAAGACCTAACAACGAACAAACTGGTCGGGCAGTCCTGCAGTGTTGCTTCATGTGAGTTTGCCTATGCAAGCATTCTATGTGATCGATGCATGATGATCGCGATGTCGCGCACAAGTCACATGCACACGAAAACCTCGATTGGTTGTTGTACGTACAGTCATTTACGTAGTCGCTGGCCTGGCCTGGGTGAGGCGATTTCCGCTTCGCGTTGCTGGTTGGCCTGGAGACCCTGCAATCCTGCACATGCATGCGCATAATTATGCATCTCTGATCGGTGACTCATGGGGGATTACATCGAGTCATCCCAGACTAGACTACGAAACTCGTATACGGTATAGTCGACTCCGGTGCATGCATTATGCGCCGACGTCACATACCACGAACCGGTAGCTACAAGAGCAACATACATGAAGAAGATGAAGACGCCATAATAATGGCGTCTTCATCTTCTTCTTGCATATGCGCATGTTGTTTTGAATTATTTTCTGTGCCAAAATCAAATTTTTGATTGTCTTCACTTTGCATTGAATACTCCGTCTGCTGGGTGCTAGGATCATCATGATCATAGTCCTGAATCCCTAGCAAAATCTAGAAGCCGCCACCCCCCCCCCCCCTTCACCCAGAGATGTCCCCATGCTGTGGTAGAGCTACCTTTCTCTGTTGCCGTGCAGAAAGCTGGAATATTTGTTGGCGTGAGAATGAGCTACCGGACACCACCCATGCCGATCCCGCAGGTACATTGTACATTCACGTGCAGTTCATTGTTCTGGGCTGCTCACAAAAAACTGTCTTGATAATGGCATGCTTTATTTAAAAGTTTGACAAGTTTTTCTCTGGCACTTGCCTGATCTTTACCAGTGTTTCACACATCCACAAGAACAATCACAATACATGTACATGTATCGTCGAAGCAATGAGTGACACCGAACATAACTGACAGCCATACGACTTTTAATAAGTTAAAAGGCCTAATTAACTAAGCCAGGTATCTAGAAACTAGAATCTCAAGTAAGCACTATGGGTAATGGAGAGAAAATTGTAAACTACAAGTACATGCTAGTGGTGTGCACGGGTAGTCCTGTCCCTCCAGGAAATCGCGATTCCACGGATGCAACAAATTTCGCGATTTCGGCCCAAACCCGCGATTTTGAGCAGAATCCGCGATTTCATGTGTTTTTTGTTGTTTCTGCACTATATCTCACATTAATATAGCAATGAAAAATATCAATTGTGCACTCATAATCATGTATAAACAATTAAAATGAAACAATTCCAGAACGTTTTCGTGTGACCATCATCAGTGGAACATCGTCACATAGTAAGAATCACTAAAACAACCAGTTATATAGCTAGAGTAACATGAAAAGAAGCGTGAGAATGCAGCCCAGCTAGCGGTTATGCATAACGCGTGTAGTGTGGACCTTTGCAGTGTATCTGAGAATGGTAGCAGTAGATGAATGTGGCAGCTGTGAGTGCGTGTGAACAAAAACTGGTGAGTGCGTATTATTTAAAAAGTGTGAGTGCGCGTTTCTTTAAGCAGTTGCCATGGTTGCAGGTGTTGGAAGCTGTATATATTCGCACACGTGACCCTGTTCTATGCAAGCAAAAAGAAAATGTTGTAGCACTCACACTTTTTAAATAATACGCACTCACCAGTTTTTGTTCACACGCACTCACAGCTGCCACATTCATCTACTGCTACCATTCTCAGATACACTGCAAAGGTTCACACTACACGCGTTATGCATAACCGCTAGCTGTGCTGCATTCTCACGCTTCTTTTCATGTTACTCTAGCTATATAACTGGTTGTTTTAGTGATTCTTACTATGTGACGATGTTCCACTGATGATGGTCACACGAAAACGTTCTGGAATTGTTTCATTTTAATTGTTTATACATGATTATGAGTGCACAATTGATATTTTTCATTGCTATTTTACGACTGTTGTCTCCTCGTCGGTTATTTAAATATCTCACATTATTATGCACTTTTCACACAGTGCTTTCCATGATCCTGTAGGTTATTTGCACAGCACGACTCGTACTACTCCCGAGTAGATATACATGTACTGTGCAAATAACGATGTTACGTTTTCTTACTCTTAGTACTCCCTTGTGCCATTGTTCCAGCAGATGCTGCAGGTGTCGCTGACCTGCACAGTTTGTACGAGTACTTGTAGATTTATGCAGTGCGTGTCTACAGCTGTATTTGAATGTGTGTGTAGTGCACAGTTTGTAGTTGTCCCCTAGGCCCTGTGCCTGTGATACGTGATTTGTAGTGCGTGTTAGCTTACACGTGGGAATGCTACGCACTTTCATGTGACCTGCGTTACTTCCTTCTCACTGTACTTCCTTTTATGCATGTATCGCTGGCATATGCGACACGGGCCGGCCGGGCCGGAGTGTGTATTGGTTTTGGAAGCATGTGCCTTTTTGTCCTGTGAGTTGTTCGCATGCACATGTTGCTGGCCGCGTGGTAATGTTTTGGTTCTTGTTGTGTTGGACCTGAGCTCTAGATTCTACAAAGTTTGCAGCTGTTGTGATTTTACTATGTTCCATGGGTCTGAATAATTGTGTTCTCCGGAGTGGAGTAAAACTGAACTGTGATTCGATTGTGTACGGAAACCCGGTGTTGACGAAAGTGTGTTGACCTGGGCGCTGAGGAAAAGTAACAAACGATTCTAAGAATGCAACAAGTTTCGTGATTTGGCCCAGATCCGCAATTTTCTGCAAATAATTCCGCAAATTCCGTATCTTTCCGCACTTTTCGCCGGATTTTTTGTTGTTTTCTGGCGCAATTTCTTGCGCAAGTTTCGACACATTTTTCCGCAAATTCCTGCAGGGACAGGTAGTCGGGTACCCGTGAGGACTTCGGGTAGAAGACGGGTACAGAATGGCACCCGAAAACCCGAAGTCGAAGATGACATCATGTACAGTGCACGTGTCCACATTCATGTCTACCCAGTGTGTAAGTGAAGGGGTGTGTTGTGGTGTTACCATGGAAACATTACCCGGTCGGGTACCCGTGCCACCCGTGGAAACTACCCGAACCCGATACCCGAAGAAAATGCTACCCGACTCAGACCTACTACATGTACATGCCCACCGTGACCCTCGTTAGTAGACAACCCGGGGGAGGGGGTCAACATTTTTGTCTTATTGAGTACACACACAACAGAGGCGAAAGGCTGTGTAGGCACACAGCATTTCGCCTCTGTTGTTGTGTGTATACTGCTCTGTACATTCGTGCAGTGAGCACTCTACCTCGAGCTGCCTAGACCGGCCTTATTTGTGTCTTATCGAGTATTATCTACAATCAGGACTTGCATGTATATGTACGGCCATTTACACACGCTTCGTCAGGGGATTTTGGATCGTTGTCTACTTATGGGGTTTGTCTAATAACCGATATCGCACTAACAAGGGCAGACCTGTAATACGTACTCGATGTTTTGAAGGAAAATTTGAAAATTGTCATCTAGGAAAAGTAGCTCAGCTACATAGAAAGGTTTTGCTCGAGCGTCTCTTATCCCGGCACATGGATACCGGGCACTGCCCGTATCTCAGATTAGTCCGTAGGTCAGGACAACTCATCTACCGCATATCTTGGCAGTTTATTGATGAAGTTTATTTGGCACCTATTGCACGAAAAATTTCATTCCCACTGCCCTCCAAGGGCGTACCCTGCAGCTTGCACACACGGGCCACCAAGGTATCGTCCGCACCAAGCAACGGCTCAACAGCAAGGTTTGGTGGCCCAACATGGCTACTAAAGCCGAAGCACTCTGCCGGCAATGTATTCTGTGCCAAGCAACTCTCTCAACGACACCGCTACGTCCGGAGTCCGTGCCCACACCACCGTCCACCAAGCCGTGGCAACGGGTCTTCGTCGATTTGTACGGACCCATGCCGAACGGTCAGAACCTGCTTGCCACTATCGACCAGTTAATTTGTCGCCGTATTGTCCCTCTCCGTATTGTCTTGTCCCACAATGGACTCCTGCGTGGCTCCAGGCGAACCCAACAGTTATCAACGTGTTTAGCACGACACCCACTACGGCCGGTGTTGTGCGCTCTACATTCTCCATGTTCGGCTTGCCCGAGGAGCTAGTCTTGGACAACGGTCCTCAGTTCCGTTCTTCGGCTTTTGCTGATTTCCTCACGCAACACACTATCCAGCACCGCCGCACCCCTCCTTTGTGGCCACAAGCAAATAGAGCAGTCGAGCGCCTGAACCGTACCATTGGCAAAGTTTTGCAAACGGCCGAACTAGCTGGCGAAGACATCAATGTTGCATTAGACCAATGGCTTCTAGCGTACCGCACCACGCCACACCCTGCCACTCACGAGGCACCGGCAACACTCATGTTTGGTCGCCCCATCCGCGGCAGCATACCCTGCATTACGCCAGCCGCACCAGACTTGCCTTCAGCTGCCAACAGTGACCAGCAATTCCGCCAATCACAGCGTGACGCTGCCAATGCCACCCGCTGGTCAAACGCCCCCATCCTCACTCCTGGTCAGCGCGTCTTACGCCGCAATGAGCAGGCGCACAGCAAGCTCTCACCACAGTGGGATCCCAACCCCTGGACCGTGGACCAGACCTCCGGGTCTACGGTGACGATCTCCAACCCGGCAACTGGCTAAAGATCGACTCGCCATATGTCATTTGTCAAGCCCGTAATTGTTGTCATGCCGCCAGCTCATCACCCACTACCAGCTGAAACTGCTGCCACCACACCAGCTCCCGGTCCACCTGACGTCAACACTGGAACCCAGGCAGTACCTCACCAGCAACCGTCCCGAGCTGCCAAGTCTGCCCACAGCACTGGGACCCCTCCACCACCCTGCTCTGCTGTGACACTCACGCATACCCAGTTCATTTTCTGTTGGGAAAAGAAGGGCTCTAGTTTGCTCTATCTGTCTGACTCTCTTTGTGCATTCTGGTTTATGCCTTTCCCTTACTGTTCGTTCGTTCTTTCCGCCATATCCGAATCTTCTCTTTATTAATCTTTAGCGATAGAACATTCCGTCTGCGTTGGGAGGGATGTAGTGTTCACACATATATTATAGACTGTCACACGCATGTATGCACGCGGCACCGTTTGTACTCCTATCCATTTACATATGCCGCTTTCCACGCCTGTGCTGGCAGTCGGTACGCACCGACTCTGTACTCATGCACGCACACCATTGCATTCTGTTGGCATCATATTGCGAAGCTTTCCGGAGCTCCGAGTTGTTTGGAATAAAGCGAGAGAACAACATTACACAGTCCGCATGATACTCGGCTGGAGGGTGAGTTTCCCGCATTCGTAGGAACGCCGCCGCCGCCCCCAAGAATCAAGATTGTATCGCAGAAGTAGGATCAAGGATCGTATAATCGTACCGCACATGTATAGGATATTTGAAAGAGTCTATTGGTGAACATGTGTGGATTAGGGTTGGTTCACATATCGCCGGTACGCACCGGGAGCCACCGGCGGTGGGCCTCCTGCAACTTCTCCCGGCGCATGGCGATGATGTGAACCAGTGCACTCGTAACAATCATAATTATGGTAAAATCGCAAGGGATCGCCGGCCAAGTTGGGCAGTGACCAGCTCTTGCGATCTGCCCCGGCACCGATTTTGACCAAAAGTGGTTTGTGAACCGTTCACGCCGGTGACCGCCAGTGCCGGTGTCATATAGTAGAATGACCCCCGTAGTGGAAGGCCCCCCCCCCCCCCCCGGTCGTTGTACTATATAGTAGATTGCCCCCGGGGTCACTCTACTATATAGTACAACGACCCCCCTCGGCCGCTATTTTAGTAGAGGTCCGTGAACTCCTGAACTCCTGAATAATCCAAAAGGAGCAAGGAGCACACAGAAAACGCAAAGGAACACTGAACTTGCAAACTTTCTTCCAACTCCAAAACAAAAACAATCCAACACAAGGTGGGATGTTCATGTCTCCTAAAGAGGAAAAGTGCGCGACCTATGTACAAATGTTGTGGACTTTTCACCACATATTCCCACAATCAAGAGTACATAACCCCGGACTCTTGCCACAATCCATAATGTCCACGTGGAATCTGTGGTGTAAACTCCATCCCTTTCTACCTGCACGTGCGAAACGACAAGTCTGGTGGACTCTGTAGTAGAATGACAGGGGGCAATCTACTATATAGTAGAACGACCCCCCGGGCATTGTACTATAGTAGATTGCCCCCGGGGTCACTCTACTATATAGTACAATGCCCGGGGGTCCATCTGCTGGGGGGTCATTCTACTATAGTACACCCGGACCCAGACTTTGTCAAAAGTTCAAACCAAGACCCGTCCTAAATTTTCCTAAATTGAAGCTAAAGATGAGGTCCATTCGCCATTCTTGTGGTCGCTTCAATGTATCAAATTAAGTCCGCATACCAATCTGTCCTTCTCGGATGATCTGCTTGACTGTTGTGTAACTTACGAGACAAACACGCTATAATGTCCACTAACACCACCAGCAGCTTCCAAACAATCAGCTAATGCTAGTTAGTTGTAGAACGTCAGTACCGTCGGTCAATGTCGTGGAATGTTATCGCATGAGCTGATTGTTTAGTAGCTGCTGGTGGTGTTAGTGGACATTATAGTGTAACTTGTCTTGTAGTTCCTTGGTCCCTTTTCTTTTCTATAAATAAGTACGAAGGATGCATTGGCAAGTTCTTGTGACTTCCTCAGCGTTTGCATGCGTAATTTCGACACCATCGCTTTAATACTAAACTGCAATAAAATGTGTAGAAGTAGTTTCATGATCTCCAGTAAAAGATAGCACCGAGTGGGCATCACCGAAAGACCTTGAACTACTGAAGGAACAAAGAATTCAAGTTTCAATTGGCAATCCTGTCGTAGCATTTGGGCACATTCTGTACTAATTTGTAGTAGATTTGGTACTACAGCAGTACTCGAACCGTATGCGGAACGGACCGGGAACTGGCTCACCGCCGGTGCAGCAAGTTCCTGGCGCCGATTTGGCTTATGTGAACCAACCCTGTCGGGCATTGGTTGTGAGACTTATGGTTGGTTGGTGTGGTTCACAAAAGCCAAATCGGCGCCAGGAAGCACCGGCAGTGAGCTAGCTCCCGATCCGTCCTGCATATGATTCGAGTCCCAAATCTACTACAAATTAGTACAGAATGTGCCCAAATGCTACGACAGGTTTGCCAATTGAAACTTGAATTCTTTGTTTCTTCAGTACTGTATAAGTGCAAAGTTTTGTTTGGAATTTCGCTATATTCGTTAGGGGGCACAAAATAACCAAAGTTTGCACCAAACTAAAAGTTTTTTTCTGAACTTTCGGGGTGACAGACCTCGACCAAAAACGAAATTTAGTACGTAACGAACCTGCTGGTGGGGTGATCTAACGAAAGAGTCATAAACAAAAAATTGTACTTATACAGTAGTTTAAGGTTTTTCGGTGATGGCCGCTCGGTGCTACCTTTTACTGGAGATCATGAAACTACTTCTACACCTTTTATTGCAGTCTAATAAGCGATGGTGTCGAAATTATGCATGCAAACGTTGATGAAGTCACAAGAACTTGCCAATGTATCCTTCATATTATTTTTTTCAAATGTACTTCAGTATAATGTCTCATAAGTTTCACAACAGTCAAACAGATCATCCGAGAAGGACGGGTTGGCATGCTGACTTAATTTGCCACCTTGAACATGAGCGACTACAAGAATGGTGAACGGAGCTCATCTATAGCTTCAATTTAGGAAGAATTTTGGATGAGTCTCGGTTTGAAATTTTGACAAAGTCTGGGTCCCAGCATCGGCGATCACCGGTGTGAACGGTTCACAAACCACTTTTGGTCAAAATCGTACGGGATCGATGCCGAGGCAGATAGCAAGAGTTGGGCATTGCCCAACTTTGTCGGCAGTCCCTTGCGATTATTTACCATGTGATTTTGTTACGATGTGACTGGTTCACATAATCGCAATCCGCCGGGAGTGGTTGAAAGAGGCCCACCGCCGGTTACCCCGGCATGCACCGGTGATATGTGAACCAACCCTTACCATCTCACCCTCGCCGTTATAGGCGCTGCATCTGCCACCCTTGTATCACAGGCATGATGGTGGCCTGGAACAAGCGAAACTTCCTAAGCGGGTTGTGTGTCTCAATAATAGCCGCATTAGCCCGTTGTAGTATCTATGGCGGCCATTTGCTACGTGGACTATACACGAGCTACGCGCCTGCAGCGGGCGACTTTTTCCGACATCGCATCAGCTGTACTGTATCCATCACTCACTGATATAATGTACATGTTTTAAGCAATAATGGTTCCTCCACACCGGCGCACAGGGTTTTGTGTCTGTCTCTCTTAACAAGTGCCACATTATCATGGCTGTTGCTTTGGCTATTCTTGAGAGGCATGTTAGAGATTGCAAGAGTACTCCAAAGACCTTCCTGCTTTCGTACGTCCAAATAGGACATTATATTCACGGTGCTGAAGGACATTTCTACCAACCTTTCCACTCAGCCATCTGGTGCACCACGATGAATGTCAGCAGTTTGTTTGTTTGTATATTTAGAGTCGAAGAACAAATAGCAGTGTGGTAGCCGATATGTTTTAGAAGAGCTGTTCAGCATCTGACCAAACATACTTGTATCAATCAACACGTTCCCTGTGGATGTTTTCAGAGTCTGCAAAGCGCGTGCGACCAAAACGTGGTAGGCCTCGGAAATAGCCCCACGGTACATAGACGCCAGAACAAGCTCAGGGGACAATGACACCAACACCAGCCCCTACCCAGTCGCACACATTCCAGGAGCAGATGGGACCAAAGGAAGAGAGGGAGGCCAGGAAGCTACGGAGGAGTCTGAACCACTACCAAAACGACCAAGGCGAACAACAGCTAGCTATGGAACAAATAGAACTGCAGCACCAGAACGTAAAACCGAGAAGCAAACAAAAGAAAGAGGATACCGGTATCAAGGTGACATAATTCAACGAGGTGGAAGTATTGAGGATGACAGCGGTCATGGTGAGGATGCTGCTGATGAAGATGATGGTGACGAAGATGACCTTCGTGAGGAGAAGAAGAAGTCAGTGGTGTTCAGGCATTTGTTGTCTATAGTGGACAGTGTCGTAAGATTCCCGGTTCAGTATTGTACACGTATGTCTTGCTCGTAGTTTTTCGTCAGCTGAAAGTGTTGGAAGCAGTATGCGTTTAATAATAACAAGCACAAGCCAAATCTATAATAGAGAAAGAATATGCCACCTCACTCACTCACTCTCCATAGTTCTCACGTAATGTTGTTTGCACATTCAATTATTCAGTTTCACCGTCATATTAAATCTAATTACATGTATTTGACTTGCATACTATTGTTGTCATACCGGTATTTAGATGTATACTGTGCACTTCTTCCAGTTAGATTGGTTGTTTCTCTTGCTTGTACCAGTGGCGACTGCGCAACTCATCTTATCCATAGCATTAGTTAGCGTTTCAGCCAAGTAACACACATACTATGATACCAGTAGATGCAATCAGGGCAGTTTTATGTATCATAGTCTAGGGGCAGCAGATCTAAACCCGAATCCACATTATGAATTCAAAAACTGCGTTTAATTAAAATTATGACTTTGAATTCAGGCAGCCAAGCCTAATTCTCATATGCCCACGCCCCAACACACCGGTACATGAAACGCAAATACGTGGCACGGCACTTTCGAACTTAGATCTTGGCGAATGAGGACACATTGACCTTCATATGAATCATGTGTGTGACAACAGTAGCTCAGTGTTAATTTAAAAATGGTGGTAGTGAATAATAGTTCAACAGGACTCAAGGAGGCAGCAGTGGGTGCAGCAGCAGCAGCAAAGGTACTGGGTTGCAGGAGGAAGCTGCATGACAAACAAACATTCCAAGTTCAGCAGGGTGAAGAAATGCAGTTGTGAGTAATAACTGGACAGTCTCAAGGTGGTACATGTAGTACTGGATAATATTCATGGGACTCTCAATAGGCTTGCCAGCAGCTTGGCTTGGTACGGGTCATGATGGAAAACTGCAGACCATGCATGAATCGAAAAATGTACTGGGTAGCAGAATTCCATTACATGAAATGTCGACATTCAAGATGAAGTCCACACAAGATTGACAATGGTGAACGTATCCTGGTTACAATTGTTGAGAATAAATATATACACACACACACTCTCTCTCTCTCCTCTCTCTCTCTCTCTCTCGCATGCACATGTCGGTAATCTGACTAGTGTTCCGAAACGATAATACACACAAACTCGTGACACGGGGGTCGTGAATTGGAAATTGGCAATCGGTTGATCTGGAGGTTGTGGACTGTTGTATAATTTGGTGACTGGGTGAGTATTTGCAGGGCGCATTAGCTCAGTGCTTTGTGCAAGTCGCGACCAGCTTGGAAGACTGACACCAGCGACTGACAGCAGCAATCACTGCGTCATGAGTCAAACAAGTGTGCTCTTAGAGAAGGCAGCCTGTAGAACAAAGGCAACACACAAGAAGAAGCCGAAATGCATTTTAAGTCAGCAGCCAGTAGTGACAACACTAGTAGTCATGTTCCCTATGCTTCAAGTGCTGAACAACTGGACCAAAGACATAGCATTCAGCTTGAATCCCTCTCAGCTCTGGCGTGGCAATGGATTGGTGGTCAGTGTTGTTCGAGGAGGGCCGGAACTTTGCAGCCATGGAGAGTCATTAACAAGCTACCAGGTAGGGCTTTCACAAAGATGCCTGCCAATCAAATTACCTACTGCTGGGCACGATAACACTGTTGTAGGTCAACTCTCTATCTTCCTATCTCAAGTGTCAACATGGATAGCTAGATAATGGTATAGCAGGACTGAGGAGCCATGTCCCAGTAGGAGGTTATCTCGTAGGTTCTGACCCCAACGCAAAACTAATATATTCACAGTATGTCACAGGTCAGCCACGTGATACTGGCAAGTAACATATGACTGCCACAACTGCACGGCACTAGTTGCAGCTGCTGTGGCTTTCCAATGAGCCGTGCACCCACAGTGACATAGTGTGGCTTTCCAATGAGCGATGCACCCACAGTGACGGCATAGTAGCTACTTTGACTTGGAAGGTTGTTTCATGAAACTTGCAACCATATCATTCATCAGAAGCAAACCCAACTCTGGCTCCACTATGACAAACAGCTGAAAAGACAACGCCTGGCGGTAAAAAGGCAAATGTCTCCAACGTCAACACTGGCATCTGATCGTTTCCGAGATACATACACAGATAGAGGCCAGTGACTGGCTAATCGGTGTGGACCCCTGAGGTGTACGGTTGTTGGGAACTGAAACTGGAGACACCGTTTCGAAGAGAACTGCCAACGTATAGTGCTGGAAGGAGGCACATTCTAATGAGCTACAGTTCGTCAATTTCAATGTAACTTGAGAGATCCTGGCAGTTTACGCAGCAGTATCACTTCCCCCAAAGATAGCTGGGCTACTTGAGGACTAACTTTGGCCTTTGGGCTGACAGGACACTCTTGGCCTGCATTGCCTGACACCTGCAGATGTTCTATCACTTTGGTAATGAAGAGCCATGACTAGTAATACAGGAACTCAGCATGATCCAACATCAGTGCATCTCTACCTGTTGGCCATCAACAGATACCGGCAAAACATGGACCTTCTTCTTGACCGGAACTTTTCGTTACCCGATAAGCGTGTCGCCCTAAGCTACCAGAACTGACACAGATAAGCTCTAATGCACCATGCCTGATAGGGATAATAAGCTGACAATGTTCTTGAGTGACATCATTGCCCATGTTCGAGCTGCTGCAAGCACAGTTGGTGGGAACACAGTCCTCTCTCCTTATCCCTGGATGTGTCCTTCAAAACGATAACATTGCTCGCACACTGGATCTTCTTTCCACTGTCTGCAAACAAAGGTTTGTTGCGAAGTGTCCCTAGCACCTTATCACATGATCATGTAGTCCCATGTGACATCCCATGTGACATCTGCACACCATCACCGATCCCTCATTATCCAAAGCCACCACGGACCAGCCTGACTAACCACTGATGTTGTCTTTCTTTAGAGTATAGGTCTGAAAGAAGGGCACTAGTGTTAATTAGATATGGGGGCTGTGAGTGTGAGCACAGCTGCACAGCTCAATGAAGGTCACATCTATCTCCTGCATAGTGATCACTACTTTCTGTACTGATGTGCATCCTACCCTGCACTTAGTGTTGGTAGTAGTACAGTGTACAGCCTCTCACACAACCAATTTGTCCCTGCAATAATATATCAGCACCCTGCTGCCTGCACCCTGAGTACATGCTGCCGTGCTTTGACAAATTACTATAACCACAGTGTGTGAGGATGCGGGACATTGCCAGCGGCTTCAGGAGCAATAAATGCTGCTCCAACCACACCGCACTCTCACAGTTTTAACAACTGTCTCTAGCCAAGTAAGGATGCAGCAATGACAGCTCGGAACTTACCAATTCAGAAGAGCCACTGTTCTGCCTGCTGTGTTGCTCCAGAACATCAAGGTGTGAAAGGGCTGGAGAATCTCCTTGCTGGCCCTTCCTCAAGCTGTAATACATCAGACCAAGCACAACAAGCCAGCAATTATCACCCCCACAAGTGATTTATGACAGAATAAATTACGCATCAAAACTCAAGGCCACTATGCAATGAGTTCTAAGTGCCTAGTTACAGTCAGCAAAAATGGCTGCCATTGAAACAGGACTGCTAATATCCTGCAGTCTCCTCCCTAGTCCCATCCAGAAAGACCTCTGAATGGTTCTTAGCAGCAGTGTTTGATCACAAGTTCACAACACCAGCTCACACAGAGCCCTCAACATCACCCTTGTCATTGTGTGCATTCTCATAGGGAGCAGACATGTCACAACTGACATGAACCTAGATAATGACAGAAGTACTATGAGTTGCTACACTGTATGATTTAGCATGCATAAGAGACCACACACTCACTGTAGCTACATACACATCACCAGCCTGAGAAGATGAAGCCTAATGCTCTAGCTCTGCATTTCCAGCATGCAGTGTGACAGCATTCAACATGAACTACATGTAGTGGGCTGCACTGGAGCCTTCTGACTGTTCTGAGTTTCATTCACAGGTGAATTCTGGGTTTACCAAGTTTACCAGGTGACTCCGTCACCTCCCCCTGGTGTCCACAGCAATATTAAACTATCAACACATACATGCAGTTTTGAAAACAATTTTTGTTGGCCCTGGTAAACTGCATCTCTAACTTACCTTGATGCTTTCTTCCGTTTGTCGGTTTTCTTCGTCAATAGAGAGAAGGGAGAACGTTTCTGCTTGGACTTTGGAGAACTGCGATCGATGGTGGTCCACTTTGAAGCAATGGAGTCATACTCGGCGTGGCGCTGCAGCGCCGGCGAGTGTTCAGCACTGTCGGCAACTGGAAGTGTTGCTGTTGCTGCTGCCGCCGCTGCTGCACTTGCATCGCCAATGTACATGGAGTGACGGCTCCGCGGCACCGACATTTGCTGTTGCTGTAATGACAATCCACCTGGTGTGCTTGCACCTAGCGATGACAATGCCAGCTGAGAGGCAGACAGTGATGACGGCGGGCGATTACGCATTGGAGAGTTGAAACGGTTCAGGGAGAAAGAAGTGAAGCGATCGCGTAGAGTCGGAGTGGAGCGTCCACTTTTCATCGTCTTCCCGGACGCTCCAGTCGGTGTCAGGCTAATATCAGTTGGTCGCAGTGTACCTGGCGTAAGAGAACCAGATGATGCTTCAACGCGACTGACTGGGCGGGATGTTAGGCCTAGTGTCATGCTGCTCTGTGAGGATCGACGCTGATTGACTTGTGATGCTGGGTGGGCAGGGAACGCTGGCAGCTTATACAATGCCCCTTCCGAGTTCTTGCGCTTCAACTTGTGAGCGATGGGCGGTGAAATGGCAAAGCGCGTTGTCTCTGGCTCGGAGTTAACCTCCATGTGATTGAATCCAGCTCGACTCTGATAGCCAGAGGGCCTGTCTGCTGCTAGCTGAACACCTGCTGCATAGGCTGGTTCTTCAACATCGCCATCATCTTCTTCATCATCATCGCTTGATTCTCCCGCCACGGCATAATCTGGATCTTCATAGTCGTGTAAGATCTGTTTTCGTGCAAGCCAGACATCAGGCAGGGGCATGTCCTGCCGTTCCTCTACGTTTGTGTAGTCATGATCCGCATCGGTAGCATCCACATCCCCTCCATCAAGCTGATCTCTGCCACTGGCATATTCGTACGCACTGCAGGCATTGTACCCACTCAACTTGTCGTACAGCTTGTTAGGGCTCTTCTGCAAGGCAACAGGTGAGGCATCTCTAGATCTGACATTAGCATTTCCCTCACCGCTGTCCGTACTGCACATAGAGACCACTCCACTGCTGCTCAGAACCGACTGATCTGAGATCTGCTTCTTTCCCAGCTTCTGCGGAATAGGATGTGCGGTGACATAACATCCTGTGCTGTTGTTTCGACTGTACGTCGGTCTCCTTCCTGCAATGGCGTACGGGTCGTGTGGGGCCATTTCCTCGTAGTCGTCATCATCTGCTTTCCTCTTCTGCTGCTGCTGATCAGCCACTTGAGAAGAGAAGGGCACGTACGAATATCGCTCTGTCAGAGCGTGCGTATTGGCATTGCTACTCAGCCTGAACTCTGCCAGCCGCGTTGACAAGTCCACCGGATGAATGTCGACGTAGTCGTCAGCAGCGTCCTCGTCATTACAATCTGAATCGACGGATAGGGACTTCATTCTGTTGTCGCTCAACTCATCGTTCTGAGAACCACACGCCGCTCGCCTGGACGCTACCTTCCTTTTTCTGCCAGTCGCTGACTTTTCCTCATCGACCGCTAGGTCGCTTGCATCGAAATTGGACGATTCGCAATCGCTCTGCCCCGCGTAGTCGGAATCACTGGAAAACCCCTGCAAGTCATCTCCGGTGGAACCCTCCAGTGAGTTGATCCTGCTAGTACTACTGCTGGCCTGTGTACCGCCACAGTACATGATACTAGTACTGTCTTGGGAAGTCTCTTGGCTAGTTGTGGATATGATCGAAGCTGGCATAACTGCGTCGTTGTTCGTTGTCGTCGTCTCCTCACTCCTCGTCCGTCTTGCCTGGAGCTGAGGAGCAGTGCAAGACTTACTATGTCCTGGGTCACTGTCAGTAGTACTCTGATAACCAGATGTAGCGCTCATTTCACGAGGCCAGACGCCTTCTCCACAATGCTCGCTAGTGCTGGACATTCAACAAAATCTTTTCTAACGTCTCAGTCGCTGACGCCTACCTTCACATACACGGTACGGTACGGCCACATGAAAAACACACACGTGCACGCACTCTCCGGACAGAGGGACAACAGCCAACTGGTGCAGTCGTCTGGCACGCACGGCAATAAAAGCACTCACTTGGATCGCCGGGGCTGCAGCTGCCTGTACTTCACAGCGCGCTTATGATTCTCAACAAAACAACAGCCGGCCGTAGATCACTCCGTACTCGGCCACTGGTTGTGGCATGACTGTAGTAGCCTTCCCAGCGGGGGCTTGACATAAGTGCGCTAGAAAGTAGAAACCCGTAGATCTACACGAGCCTGGACAGAATCGACCGATTGCTACACGCAGTGCATGCTGCTGCGTCCTGCACCAGTCGACGACACTTGACAACTCTCCGGACGGTCGAAAAATGAGTGCGGCCAGCGAACTGTAGTATCGCGGTCAGCTGAGCTGCTTGACCTGACACGCTGTCAGAAAAGCGATCATAGGAGATTTACATGGTGCTCGGACCACAATACATCCAGAACAGACCTACTCCTAGAATCCTGCATGGCAGTATCAGTGCTTGGGTCGTCGGACGGTCGGAGTTCGCGGAACGGGTTGTGAGATCGAGACCTATGTGCCTAGAGCGCAGAATCGATCCTCGTCGCGACTCGCTTTTCGATAGATTTTTGAGGTAAACGCCGGCAGATTGCGCAGTTGGTGGTGCTCTTGTCAGTCTTGACCTGCTGCAATGGTCGACTATACTAGTAGTTGTACGGAAGCAGCTTCAACGGTGGAAGTAGTTATAATCACCGTGGGGTTTCGTCGTACCTCCCTCGCCGTAAACTAGCTGTTGCTGGTCTTGACCTGCGTCCAACCTTCTCTTTCAATCAAGTAACAGCAAACTGGCCCGCACTAGGCCGCAGATTCTAAGTAACTAAATCACACACACTGCTGATTTGGAGACTTGTAGTCTTTGCGTGTACATGGTGTAGGTGGCAGCCTTTCTCAACTCAAGCTCGATGGCGGCTGGCGCTCATGCAGCTCAGTTCCGAATCAGGTCATTGTTTCCGGCGTGCTATTGGCATACAGTCATCTGGTCATCACGGAGAAAATCACGTCTGCGGTCCTGAACAGAATAGAATACAGCTGTGTACTGACGTCCTCATGACTTCAGAGCAGGGAGTAGTAAATACAGTATTTTACTACTCCCTGCTTCAGAGCTTGCGCATGAAGTGTGGAGGTGTTCCAAATATTTTGTGGCGAAATCACATCCAGGATATCCAGGACGGAAGGTGTCTACGTAACATTTGCACTTCGCACTCTCTCAGTCTCTGTTCTGGGGAGCAGTCACTATACGTCATGACTGATTCAGTGTTGTGCACTTCGTTCCAGGGACAGTCACCAAATCCGTGGGCGCACGTCGACTGCATGCATACAGCATCCACTGCACTGACGACTTTTTGCTGCTTTCATTCAGCTGTCTTTCCGATAGATCCGCGTGTGTTGGCCCCCAAACTCCACATTATTGTGGCATACTCGTAGCAACTACCGGTGAAGCTGTACGTGTATTTGCTTTTAGACCTTACTAAGTTACTTTACTTTCACAGTGCCCAACAGAAGCAACACAGGACTTTTACGTGGTCAGTAAAATGTTCAACCTACGCGTTTGGCCATTGCCAGTAACAATTTATGCAGTCGTGGCAGATGTACAATAGCTGATAATGACAGGTGGCGTTTTTGATATTTTCTTCTTGCCACACATAGGGATTGTACACTGTAAATATGCCAGTGAATTATGATTATTTTGTTTCGCGCCACGTTGCCACACTAACCAGCACATGACTATTGTAATTATTTATAATGTACATAGCTTCTGGTGAGGGGTGGGGAGAATGTTATGTAAGTCGTATCTATTCAGTATCATATCCATAATGTCTAATGATTGTATGGGCCATCGAATAATAATACTAGAAGTAACAGTACAAGTCTACATGATGGATGTACTACATGTATAACACATCAACACGCTCATGTATTTTTTTGTAGATTGGTGTAAGAAAAGATCAGACAGTCATGAGCCATGACTGTATGCAGGAAACTCTGTGAATCAGTGATCATGGTGATGCAGTCCGCCCACAATTTTCCTGCTTTTCAACAGCCAGCAATGCAACCTCAGAATTGGAACACAGCGGTTTCCTCTTTGACCTGTTTACAATGGTTTTGAGTGTTGGCCACGCAGTCCTGACCCCATTACCTGACTACGCTATGAGTATGCGTCCAGGTCGGCGCTTACGGACACTCAGTGGCTGAATTGAAGCGCATGGGCAGTGCTCATTCATTCGTCTTTCACAACAGACCTTGGCCAAAGTTTCCTGCAACATCCTGATCCTGGACCTAGTCGACATACGACTACTGTATGTAGTCCCGTGCGTATTATAGCATTCGTGAATTCAAGCTAGAAACGTATAGTAAAGTATAAATACATGATTGTATAACAGCAAAGGCAGTCAACCAGCCAACCATGGTCAACTGGACAACATTTCCTTCACAGGATTTCGTCGTTACATGCACTTCCAAGTATCAAACTCACTTAGAATAACAAAGACGTGAATTGCCACTGGTGCAATTCTGTTCAGAAACACAACCAGCTTGCGAAGTTTCGCTTGTGCCCCGCGGCTGAGATCTCAACGTACCAGGTTTGTTGTGATAGGAGAAGGGTGCATTCGTTTTACTTTTAGGTGATGTCGTTTCTATTCAGAAACATTGCTGCAATGTACCCGAAGGTGAAAGCTTTTTTGGATACACATTGACAACATGGAAGGCAGTGTGTCACGCATATCAGCCAGCGCTAGCCACTTCCCTATACACCCACTCAATTACTAACATAATTAGGGGGTGAATCCGAGCCATCATTATAATGTTCCAGCTATAAACTTTACTTCAAATCATGTTGAATGGCCATTGACGAATCATGACCAGGCAGCAATATCCAGGAGGAAGTTACTCTTCGCACTATAAGTAATTTTTAACTAAAAGTGTACCAAGCCGGAATACCGTGACTGTAGTGTGCATTGCAGATAAGGGACTCTAGCGTTCAGGGACCCACTTTGAGCGTCTATTTTCGCTGGACACTTGAGCAGTCGTGACGATTGATTCTTTTATCTCGGCCACCTGTAGACTCTTGTGCAGCACAGAGTCAGAGGCCTTTCGTGAAGAGCTCTCCCTCCCGTGGCAACTCCGGGTTCAGTACTAGTGCCGTAGTGGAATACTCAGCAGGACTGGGGCTGGTTGTGCCACGTGACGAGTTCCTCTGCCTCTCGACTCTCTACTTTAGTCTTTAGTCTTCAGATCCTTCATTTTCAATGTATCTGGAAGTGCATTGTAGTTACTTATAATATTGTCCGGCGGTCGATGGTTGCTCCGTAGATCTACCCGAAGTGCACTCTTTTCATGTTCATGCTGAGGTCTTACCGGTACCGTACTAGTAGATTGACTCGCTTTCCGTCTAGTGCATCCTCCCGAAAAATCATGGAAGGACTCACCTCCCCGAACAAGGAGTTCTAGATTAGGGAACAAATGAAAAGAATCGAAGTGCTCTACATCGCCGATCGGCAATTGTAATTAAAAGAGGTGCCCTGGTGATTGGGCCAGAGTGAGTGCCAGTTTGTTCGAAGGTACCATACAGTAACTTAGTCATACCGACATTGCTCTAAAATGGCTACTAGAGTAGTAAATGCCGGTTTGAAACAGCGGTGCTTGTGCACAGTCACATCACACTTGTGCTAATGTGAAGTGCAGTGACTGTTGTACTTCTCTTCGCGGTACTCATAGAGTCAAATCACCAGTTTAAATAATGTTGCTTCGGTTCTAATATCTGCTAGTGCTAGGTTTCGCAGCAGTTCTGACAACTAACTTCTGTGCATTGTACCTTTTTGTGGCAATGCACGCTTGACGAAAGTGCCATGTCACATGCACAGTCCACAAGCGTGTGTTTGCTGCAGATCTACGACGTTCCACCCATTGCCAGTTGTCTCGCCACTCGTTATGAAACGTCTTGAATCCTTCTACTTTACTTGTTTAGTTTATGAACACGCCTTCTTGAGGATTCCTTTGCTTGAGCCGAGGTCAGGTGCTACAGACTACTACAGTACAGCATCTTAGATCTAGACTAGACTACATGTAGTGCGAGTAGTGGCTGTGCTACTTTTCTCGTCGTAGTGGTGGTGGACCAGGGTAGAGCTAGAGGGGCATCGAAACAATAATGGTGGCGGAGCAGTGATCAAAAGTATGTAACCGTAGTACATAAAAGCAAGAGTACATTATAAACGGGGTTAGTTATGATAGAAATGGGGTTATGTAACTAACTACTACTATACATCTTCACTCTCCAAACGGTCTCTGGGCTACACCAATCACGAGACAGAGCCTCAGACTCAGAGGACTGGCCTAGCGCCTGAGCAAGACTCGTATCGAGCCTCGAAGAGGGCCGCTAGGGGTCTAGACGTAGACTCTACGAGTGTACCGTTCGGCCATGCATCTTGCCCTTTTATGAATCCCATCAAGGCAGTCACGCGCTGCACAGGTCTGGAGGGCAGTTGCTGCTCATGAAAGTGGCCCTGTCTACCCACGCGCTTCTCTATGATTCCACCCTTTATGGCTTTAGCCTAGTAGGCTTTACTCCTCTTGTTTGATCACGGAGCAGGCCTGCACGAGACTAGCGACGATAGGTTACATAACTGTCGCTACTAGGTTACGTTATGCCTGGGCATAGCCTAGGCCCTATGGGCAGTTCTGGGAACTTCTGGACTACTCAATCCGCGGACAGAACTCTTTTGTCCGTTGTAGACTCATCAGTGCAGCACAGAGAAAATGAGGCCGACAGTTATGGACTTAGTAGTCACTAGATAAACTAATGTTAGCTACTTGCTCGCGACACTCGCAATGCCCATGAGTCCATGCTCGGAACTAAACACAACTACTTCAAGTACTATAATAACACGACCTGCTTTCTACATGTTCTTTTGACCGTTTTGACTTTGTCCGAATCTGATCTGCAATCAATCATCGCACAGCACACTGCTAGGTGGGGGACGGTGGCGGTGAGGCAAATTAGTACTGACTACAGTCAACTTCGCTAATAACGACTGCGGATATAACGACAATTCGCGAATAACGACATCATTTTCATGCCCAGAGCAAAGTCCCATCCAACTGGGACCCATTATAATGAGACTTCGGGCATAAGGACACTTCGCGAATAAGGACACTTTTCTGATGCCCCGCCGAGTGTCGTTATAAGCGAAGTTGACTGTATACTGTAATATAAATTATAAGACAAGTCACAATCCAGCTCAGCTCTAAAATTGTGAGACCATGACTGTATTAGTTTCAACAATAGCACTCATGTACATGTCATTGTTTACTTATCAAAAGACCTTTGGAACTTCTGAGTGTATTTCCAGGCTTGCATGTCTACATGTGCACGTTAGTCGTAACATCAAGACTACAGACTACACCGTCTACAAGTGACTTCTTGCACTTTGTTTCTTCGCTATTAAAAAGAACATGGGATCATATCCGTGGTCAGGTTATTGCGACGTTCCATTCTCCTTTCCGTTTCTTTTTGTCTTTGCACCCCAGGGCAGTTGTGGTACCCACACGCACACACTGAGTTTGATGATCCTAATGAGACTCGTCTCCCGTTATGAAGTACATGTACCAGACTGAGGAATGTACAATCCTACCCAGGACGTGTGCGATTTTGAGATTATTGTTCGATCCAGGCAGTGTGGAATTCCAAAAACGCGTCACCCTTCGTGGTTTCTCTAGCTCGGCACTGTGCTCGTGTGATGTCGATAATAGCAAGAATACTAGTATTACACTCAAGCTGTGT